AGACTAGAACATGGTTCCAGCTACTAAATATGCTACAGTGCAAACTAGCAGGCTAGATGGCTTCCTTGGATCTTGATCTTGACCTTCCGGGAGCTGATGAAGTGTAGAGCTCACGAAACTATCGGTACTCATGTCTTAGTCAATCGATCAGCAAGCAACTTATTGCTTGATGTCATTTTATGTCATTTTGATAATCATCCTCCTTATACTCCGTACAAAGTTTATCTTTTCTTTTCTAATTGGCGCTTCTATCTACGTATCAGTTGACACTGAGTTCGCGTCAGACTTCGTAGACATTCAGCATCGTAAGATATAGTCATCTTTGCCCACCACTGCGTCTGAAAGAAAGCCAGAGGTGACTCCATTGAGGGACCATAAATTGCCCGAGGAATCCTAGTTTCTTGCTTGCTTGCCCTCTTCCACCCAGCTTGCAGGAGCATGACTGTGGTAAGTAATTCATCCCATTCCAGTTCTTGCCCGTTTCCGGAAAGGACGACACTATGTGGGGAACAGTGTGGGGTAGAGGCGCTTTCCCCCTCATTGTTGTTATCTATATGATAGTTCTATTCGGTCTCAAGAGCTTTGGTTCTGAAGTCCACTTTATGCGAGTGCCGTCCATATTGGAGTAGTTGACTCGACAGGAAGCGGAGCGGCGGAAATTGATCGCAAGGTGAAGATGTGAAGTTCAGATGATTTAGGTAGCTACTCAGTAAATAGGTGTGAAGTCTAGAGGTGGAAGCAACAAGTATCCTGTCGGACGTATGTTGCGTGAGCTGAGATTCAATCCGGAAGGAGAAATCCATCATGTTAATGAGGTTTATCTAGTTGTGGCTTAGAAGTTGTGGGCAGACAGTACTTCCATAACTACCATGTATAATACTCCCCGCAACAGACTAAGCCTGCGCTGGCCAGTGACCCGCCAAGGCGGCATGCCGTGCCAATCCGATATCCGTCGCAAACCAAAGCTGGCCAGTTTCTCCTGTCTAGGTGACTTAGCTTCACTGTCTCAACTTTACAGACTCTTCCACAACTCTCCTTCCTTTCTTCGCCTCTGGGATCGGGTGAAAGCAGTTATGGCCGACTATCTTTACGAGCTCCTGGCTCCTCAGCTGGGCCCAACCACCAATGCTCCTTCCGATCTTCGCTCCCCGGAGCACAATCCCACCACAGCCCAATACCTCAATCGTCTACCAACCCTCTCCCTTCAAGCATTGCAGACGACAGAGCCTCAATCCTTAACGCAGTCCTCCCACTCGACTCTTTTGTCCCTTCAAGCGCTCTCCAACCGTTCTCACAAAGCCTTCGTGACCTCCGCGGACCATTTGTCCCACCTTCGCACAACTATCCCCCAGTTGACCCGCGACGCCCAAGCACTACGAGATTCAATCCCCAAACTCGACGAGGAAGCAGTTCTATTCTCTTCGAAATATAGCCGAGCAACCGAGAATGTATCCCTCGAGCGACGGAAGAAAGTTATGCAATTGGCAAGAAATGTGGACCGACTCTCGGACATTTTGGAGCTGCCAACCTTGCTTTCTACAGCCGTGTCATCCGCCGCGGCAAGCTCAGGTGGTACAGGGAGCTCGGCCTCGACCACGTACTCGACTGCACTGGATCTTTATGCGCACATCAAGAGACTACAGACTTTGTATCCGGATTCCCCACTCATCAACGACGTGGTCATGCAGGCAGATGAAGCGATGAAAGATATGACTTCCAATCTAATTGCCGGGCTTCGGTTGCAGAATCTGCGGCTAGCAGCGGCAATGAGGACCGTTGGCTGGCTGCGGCGAGTGGCGCCCGAGTTGGAAAACCTATACAATGACGGAGGGGCTACTTCCGGTGAGGGTGCCTTGGGCGCAGTGTTCTTGATCTGTAGACTGGCAAATCTGGTATCAATGCTGGAAGCCCTGGATCCTTTGCGAGAGTTGGCCGACCAGGAGACGCAGCGCAGACTTCACAAGACTGACAAACAAAACAGTGCGACAGGCACTTGGTCAGATGGTCACCAGACGGAGAAATACTTGAAACGATATATTGAGATTTTCCGCGAACAAAGTTTTGCCATTGTCTCCTTATACAGGAACATTTTCTCTCCTGACCAGTCCGAGTCTAATTTGGCGGTTGCCGGTCTACGTGGAATCGATAGTCGAGTCAAGGCGGTAGCCTCGAAATCAGCCCGTGCAGAAATCCCCTTTCAACGTCTTCCGTCCGCCTTGGCCACTTTTCCCATGCAGCTGGTCAAATTACTCGCGGATACGTTGCGCACGTATCTTCCTAATGTTCGCGACAAGAGCTCGCGCGAAAGTCTCTTGACCCAGGTCCTGTATTGTGCAGCCAGCCTTGGCCGACTTGGGGGCGATTTTGGAATGATCCTTACGGAGTTGGGAGACGAGCAGGACGAAGACGATGATGATTTAGCCTACGAATGGGAGGAAGTGACACGGAAACACCGAGCCTTGGCAGGGCGGTTGGAACAGCTGACTGGGGGTGGTACAACCACAGGGCCTTCTTCCAAAGGGACCTTGCGAGTAGCATCGCCAGCTTAGTGAGGGACGGGGCGATTGATTGAACAGCAGAGTGACCGAGTGACAAAGTGACAAAGAACGTACTGTAAGGATATTGCCAGCAAAGCTGCCAACAAACAAACAAAGCCAACAAATCGGCCATTGTCAGTGTCAGTGTCAAGTGTCAGTCAGTGTCATTGAAGGTGAAGGAAGGGATGAGCGTCTTTCGTTCCTCAATAAGGGAAGTCAGGACACCCGGGGGTCGCTAACCCGATAAGGCATGGCATCCGCCGTCCAACACTGTCTGGACCATCCATCCATCCGTCATCCTCCCTCCCTCGCTTCCTCGCTCCCTCCCTCTCCCTCCTCTCTTATCTCCCCCATCCCTTTCGACAACCTTCAGACCACTCTTCCTCATTGACTCTATACGCCTCTTCTCGCCTCCGAAACCCCCCTGACGCTTCTCTTCAAGACTCCTTCTCTGCGACCGGTGCTGGTTTCCGGTCTCTGATCTATCCTTCTCCCCCCCGCGCTGCCGCCGCCGTCGCCGTCTCCGTCTGTTGTGACGTTCTCCCTTGCATACCGTGCCACTGATTATAACCCTTCTGAGCCATGAAGTTTTTTTCCTTGACTGCATGAAGAAACTCCATCATCTACAGAAACTTGCGACCTTCATTTCACCACCCCTCCTCCTGTGACCCCGATTCCCGATGGCCGCCCCCGCTCTCTCCACCAGCGGGTTGATCGATCCAACAAAACAAGCCGAGTATCCTATTGTGCTGGGTGACAGGCTCGCTGGCAAGGGCGCATCGGACTCCCAGCTAGTCAACATTCAATATAACTACAAAACCAAATCTGCGACCGCCCGATCTAAAATCTCTCGATCAAGGCAATCGCGGGATCGTTACAATCTGACGATCACGGACAAAGCACCAAATGCCGAGCACAATGTGTTGACCTACACATATCAAGGCAGTGTAGATCCGGCACAAGCTGCGCTGGAATCTGGTGAACATAATCTTGTCCTGGTATTTGACGCCAATCGGAAAGTGTTCGTACTAGAACCAGTAACGACACAGCTCAACTTTAATCTTCGGTCAGCCCCAGCGAAGTCACACAAGCAGGTCCTTGAACAATATGAGCAACTACGAACGTTACAGGAGGAAGACCATGGATCGGGTGACGATCGGGCGTCTGACAATGCCAGTGGTAATGATGACGGCCCGGCGGATGACAACAACCCTTTTGATTTTCGTCATTTTCTTCCAAAGGAGAACGCCGATGACGACAAATCTGCCTCAGATACCAGTGTAGGCAAAGCTGCGACACCATTGATGTCTGCTGTCAAACCCACTCCGAGTCCCAAGCCCGTGCCGGACAAGCAGAAGCAGCGGGAACCATTGCTCCGGAAAAAGGAGCGTGCAGAGGCTGTCAGGCCCCCGAAGTCCACACCGACAAAAGCACCACCGAAGTCTCCGGCACGAATTGAGCGCAAGGGAACCGACCGGAAGGTCGTCAAAGAGGATGACGTGCGGGTGAGCACAGCGAAGCCTCCGCCGGCTGAGACTGGCTTGGGATTGGTCTCGTCCCAAATAACCGAGCCTTCGCCGGGGTCAAATATCATCATTGACGGTGACTTGATTATCGAAATGGGCTCGCCGCGGCCCTCGAGAATTGACACGACCTACTTCTCCGATACGCACACACCGGCCAGTGACGATCACGAGGAGGAAGACGATGAAGATGTTGACCATCTCCGACTTCCTTCACCAGCCCGCCACGGGAAAGCGCCTGCAGTTCGCGAGCCTGTCTCTGCGCCGCTCGTGAATGAAGCTGAGCTGGATGACGATGATGCCCTGGCCGCTGAGATGGAGGCGGCCTTTGAAGAAAGTGCGCGGGAGGAAGAAGAGGCACGTAGCCACCAGTCGCAGCCACCATACTCGTCGCATCTGTACCACGCACCTAGTGAAGATGAGAGCGAGGTCAGCGAGGAAGAGTAATACTGTTCCTTTTACGACTCTTGTTTATTGACCTGTATTTCACTCTTGTAACAAGTCTACATGCATATAAGCAGGGCGCATTGTGGAGTTTACACTGTTTGACATTGAGCCCCAGCGGGGGCGGATATTCATGGCAATTGAGATAATACCAGCTGTTGCACCGTATTTGTACTGAAAAGTGCATTGAGGACTGATTGACACAACTGTCAGTGTTATAGCATCTTGGTATATTTATGACAACTGTAGCACTGAGAAAACCACTTGTGAGAGTAACAATTAGTCCGAATGCCGGTTCTACGCGGCGGCCGATCTAGATCGGAACAACTGAATGATCCGGGCCGCATCGTCATTGGGCCAAGTGCAAGTTAAGAAAAACCACCGCTCTAGAAAGGAGCTTGACCGGTTCCTCCGGCAATAATCGACGACACCACGAGTTTCTCACGATTTACAGCCCAGTCCATCGCACTCAGCCGCTGCGAAACTTACCTTTTTTCTCCCATAACGCTTACTGTCGCGACTCGTGGACTAACACGCGTGGTGCGACTGACCTCCCGATTCTCGGCATCCGATGCGATGAAGAGTCACCCGCGGGCCATGGTTGAAACGACTCGATAAAACTCCAGGCGACGAGACAAAGTGGCTCACTGTCGCCAGTGGGCTACACTAAGGGTGCGCCTTCATTTACTGCCCGGCTCCTTCGACAGCCTTCAAGTAGGGTGACTGAAGAACACTCGATCGGAATCTTACCCAAGCCTGCCTTCGCGTGCGGATTCGGGCTCTCGGGATCGATCTCCTCTCACGTTGTGTACAGTTCTGCCACCTTCGACTCATTCGGGATAAACTTTGCTCTCATTAGCGTCGCTTTGTGCTTCGAGGGAATTGACCCTTACGGATAAAGCTCATATGCACACGATGGCCTCTCCACGCGGCCACCGTCCAGGTCCCAGGCCTGTTCCTGCGCCTTCGAATACCGTCCTCCTCGCGACCCAAGCCCAGTGGCTCTTCACTGATGAGGAGCTCACACGAACGCCGTCACAGCTCGATGGGATGAAGATGGAGGCGGAAAATATCTCCCGCAGCAAGGGCGTGAATTTCATCTCCCAGGTGGGTATCATGCTCAAGCTGCCGCAACTCACGCTTGCGACGGCCGCCGTCTACCTCCATCGTTTCTTCATGCGATACAGTATGGTCGATCTACCGCAACGACCCGGAATGCACCCCTACCCCATCGCTGCTACGGCACTGTTCCTGGCTACAAAAGTTGATGAAAATGTGCGGAGGATGAAGGAGCTTGTGGTTGCTTGCTGTCGGGTAGCCCAGAAGCAGCCGAATCTGGTGGTTGACGAGCAGTCCAAAGAGTTTTGGAAATGGCGCGACACGATTCTCGTCAACGAGGATACCCTACTGGAGGCGCTGTGCTTCGACCTGCAGCTGGAAGAGCCGTATCGCATCCTCTACGAATTCCTGCTGTTCTTCAACGTGGCCGATAACAAACAGATGCGCAATGCGTCATGGGCCTTCGTCAATGATTCGATGTTTACCGTCCTGTGCCTACAGTTCACCGCTCGCAACATCGCCGCCGCCGCGCTGTACGCCGCCGCCAAGCATTGCGACGTCGGTTTTGAAGACGACGAACTCGGTCGGCCCTGGTGGGAGCAAATCGATGTGGACATCCACGAGGTGCGTCGTACGGTCACGAGAATGGCACAATTATATGAACACAATGCCTTGCAAAGAAATACGTACTATCTGTCCGCCCCCACCGCGTCAGACGAGGGTACTGAGAAGACCAGGATCCCGCGCGCGGGCGGTACGACAGAGTCCGCGCCAGGAACAGACCCCGTCAATGGGCGCAAGCGGTCCAGGGAGCCCGAAGAGCAGACTCACGACCGCACCCTGCACGAATCGACTACATCGCGCGACCACGAGCCAGCTAGACAGAATGGTACACGGTCGCCGAAGCGACAGCGGAGGGAATCAGAAGGCGTGGTGGCCGAGAGAGGCCCTGCGCATGAATCCTCGACTGTTCCCTACTCTAATGGAGGGCCACCGTCATCCCAAGACCGACACCACGGCAACGGTCACGTTCCTGCGGGACAACTCCCGCCGCCTCCCCATCACTCACAACCACGCCATCCGCATCCTCTGCCCCCTGCCCCTCGACCGTTCCCTCGCCGTGATAGCGCCAGCCGGGGAAGTAAGCCGGGGCAACCGGTGGATCCGATCCAGCAACGGATCGACGAGATAGTACAACAGAACATGTCCTCCCACGGGTCTCCGGGCTCTGCTAGATCTGAGCGACGGCCAATAGACCGTCATCGAAGTGACTGGGACGTAGAATCAGACGAGCGCAGGCGACGCCCATCTGCTGGTGGCAGGAAGCCATCCTACGAAGAACATTCGAACCACTCCCGTGCACCACCTCCACCTGCTCCTCCACCTCCTCCTCCGCCACCTCCTCCGGAAGAAGCCCGGCCACCGTCACCGGAACCAACGAAAGCCGTTGAGAATGATGATGAGGGCGGCGGGAGTGAGGAGGGCGAGCTTTGATGAGCGGAGTTTTGCTCTTTCTTGATTCTTGCTTTATTTCATGAGAACTCATAGATATCTACTATGCACTGGAAGCTGCTGCACTGTATATAGTGCAACTCTGACGGATCGGAAGGAACTCCAGCAGCTCGAGCAGAATCGTGCTCTTTGTCTTCTTTTGCTAATTCTTCGATGGGCTAACATTGCTCATTCATTGCTACTTCGCTTGGCTTGGCGCTGTGTTGGTTGTATGGAGAGAGGCGAAGGGATTGGGGATGAGAGGGACATTATGTACTATACCTTTTGCTTAGACTTGAATCATCTTTTTCGAGTGTTGTGTGGGTGGTTCAATTGAGATGGCGGCGCCATATTGATGATTAGAGCATCTCTATACTGTAGCATGGATCCTATGCCAGAGCACTGCAACTACAGATGACGGCATCTTGCTGGGCAAGATTGGCTGGCTGTATTGTAGCTCTTTTGTTTTCTTTGTCGATCTGGGCCTTCGGCGATTTTCAAGTTTCGAATGTTTTCGATCGAGTAGTGCTGCCCATTCATGATTTACATGTATGGTTCGGTTTCTTCAACAAAGTAGGGATTGCAAGAGACTGCTCTTAACTTCGCTTATTTCGTGCCTATACTCTTGGATCCGGTTACTGATCAAAATTTCGTTCCACCGCGCTACAGTACCCGTTGTGTTCACGTTGTGTTCACGTTGTGTTCACGTTGTGTCCATACTCAGACTTCGAAATGGAGATGACGTCTTATTACATTCGCAAGCAGAGCTACTAGGTACCTACTGAGCGACTTATGTCTCATCCCAAATCTCAATCTCCTGCACCTCGACCTCCCTGGTCCAGTCGCCCCTCCACTCCCTCGCCCGGTACCCTCCTCTCTCCGCAACCACATGCCTCACGCTCATCTTCGATAGATTCTTCTCCAGCACAAACTGCACGCCTTTTCCTGCCTCCCCAAAGACCAACTGCCTCGTCTGCTCATCTAGTCGATACCCCGGCCGCACCACTTCTGACAAATCCCCGCGAAACACATCCTGCACGGGACTCAACTGGAATAACAGGCACGATGCTGCCGCACCCTCCATCTCCGCCCAGGGCAGATGGAATCCAAACACTGCTCGCTGCCCGGGCTGCGTACACCGTCCCCTGCTACCAGGACCACGGTTAGATCCTCGTCACTGTACAGGTCGGCTACTAGCGTCTCTGCCGTTTCGTTTTTCTCTGTGGTGGTGGTGGTGGTGGTGGTGGTGGTGGTGGTGTATGTCTTGCGCAACGCGAGTGCCTCGAACGTCACCGTGTCCGCAAGGTTCATCCCCATCTGCGCTAGGACGGGGCGTGTCGCTATCTTGCTGGGTGGTGGGGAGGGACTGGAGGATATCTTTCTGTTCCTGTTCGGTTCGAGGTTAATATAGCGGGAACAGTAGTGTCTCCAAGCTGGTCAAGAAGAGTGGCTATCCCGTAAAAATCAGCATGTATCTTGAACCTCCCCTCGCCCCCCGGCCAAAGCCCTTGTTCTCCAAACCACAAGGTAGAAGCAGGGAATAACGAACCGCAACATCCCCCACAACCTCATCAAACATCGGCCATATCACCACCTCATTCCCCTCTTGAGCAAAAGCTCTGACAACACACTCAGCCGCCGCCTCCTCCTCCAGCCCTTCCCTCCATCCAGAGCAACACACCCAGCAAAGCCCACCCGCAGAAACAACCTCACCACCTCCCGCAATCTCTCCCTCCGAATCCCCAACTCCCTGACCCTCCCCTTTTTGTCAACCTCACCTTCACCCCCAATTGCCTCCACCCCCGCCTCCCACACCCGCTTATCCTGGATATCATACAACACATCCAGCAGATCATGGAACATCTCATCCCCGTCGGCATCGTAGTTCACCCCGCAGAACGACCGTTGGGTCTCATCGTCTGCACGAGGAATGTCGAAGGCCTTGCGGTGTTCTTGCGCCCTCGCTTCCTCTTCCACCAGATCCTTCTGTCCTGAAGAAGTAGACGGGAAGATGCGCTATCACCAGACCTTGGAATATCAGCCGCCGGTGGTCGGCGCGCGTGCGGCGGCGCATGAGGTTGCTTTCCTCGAAGAGCTGGGCGGAGAGGTGGAATTCCGCCAGGATGAGGGCGCGGAGGAGCGCGGCCGGAGTTGGGGATTCCGGCGGGCGGAGAAAGGGGAATGGGAAGGGGAAGTTGGAGAGGGAGGCGAGGAGGCGGTGGATTTGGGTGAGGGCGTTGCGGTGGGGTTTCTGGAGGGTGAGGAGGGAAGAGGGTTAGGAAGGCGGGGAGGGTGAGGGTGTGCTCTGGGGTGGAGAGGAGGAGTTGGTGGAGGTGGGTGGTGGAGAGGAGGGAGGAGGTCTGGATCTTGATGGTGAGGGCGTCGAGAGTGGTGTCTGGGGTTGGAGGTATTTTCTTTGGCTTTGAATTGGGGAGTTGATTTGAAATTGAGAATGGAGAGAGTTTTTGTGTGGATAAACAAGATAGAAGAAATTAAGGTAGTGGGTGACACATGCCTCAAGTCGCGCGCCTGGACCGGGTTCACTATTCTAAGATCAGGCTCATTGTTTCTCTGCCATTATCAGTCAACAGTCACAACTAAGATCTAAAGCTAGATCCCTTATTTGGTCAGTCCCTGTTTCAAACATCCAGACTAATCAGCACGACCATGCTTGCAAGTTCTAGCCCCCCAGCCAACACCGACCCCAAACCCTAACCTGTGCTGATTTGACCCCCCTAGAACATCAACCTGAACAACCAGGATAAAACGAAACAGCCCCCATGCTCAAATTCCCCAGGAGCACTTCTTACAGGACCACAATGCCCGCACCCTTCATTTCCGTGATTCCGTCTAGACCAACACAGTGTAGTATAAAAAGGCGGACCCCCCTTTTCCTCAGGCCACCTCACATCCCCCCCCCCCCCAAAACCCCAGAAGCCATCATCCACTCTTTAATCTTTTGAAATCAACCACACTCATTCAACGCCTAGCGAAAAGAAAAAATGAGATTCATCACCATCGTCTCTCTTCTCGCGGCCACCCTCGCCACCGGGGTGACATCCACCCCGGTCCCGATCGCCAATGCATCCCCTGACCACGGCGGCTCCATCCAACCCATCAACCTAGGAACCAGATCGGTGCACAACGTCGACGTCCTTCGCAAGCTTCCGGAGATCAATGCCCGCTCCTGATCCTGATCCATCGCTGGGCATTTCCGAGAGAAACCCATCTACAAATACCAAGGAAGTTGGAATTGGAAGTGCCGAAACCGCCAACAAGCTCGAGATTGGGAGGGCAGATCTTCGCTGAAGAGGATGAGGGAGAAGAGGTGGGGGCGTTAGCGGGCAAGGCTAAGGAGTATTTATGCGGAGGAGGGTCAGGAGGCAATGTGTTTGGGGAAAGAAGGGGACGTTCAAGGGTTTTAGGGCACTAGGACTTGAGGGCCATCAGAGGGTCCTATCCTTATTAATGTGTACTGTATTGATGACTGTTTGTTGCTTGTTGTCGAGACTGTTGCGCTGACTATGCGTACCCACAAGGGATAAGGTCTAGTTCACCTGGGGCATGGCATTCGGACACAATGGCATCCCGTGTTTTTAGGGCATAGATGTTGTCCTCTGGCTTTTCTCTTCGTCCATGGTACAGGTCTATAGGTTTCGGAGGAAGTAGATGGGGAGCATGTTTGAGCCTTTTGTTTCCATTAATCTATCGCATTCGTACCGAGCCAGATGCAATGACCCAAAACAAACACACGCAGACAAAAGAAAAACATAAGAAATCTGAAGAAGTCTATCTATTGGTTAAGAGTTTTAAACAGTCCCCAGAACTGTGTACAAGTGTATATATGACATACCTTTCCACCTCGAGCCCCTTTGCCTCCTGGCTCAAGCAGTCCAGACCGGTGGTCAACGTATCGCATCCACCGGCGCATGCGCTGCCCCGGGGCCCGACTGCTGCACGGTAACATGGATCTGACTCGTCCGCCAGATCCCCTGCCGCAAGTCCGCGGCATCCGCTTCTTCATTACCCTGGTCATGGGGGATAGTGTCCAGCGGCAACTCCGACTCCGACGGGAGACGCTTGGCCCCCGAGGGCTTGAGCTTGGGGGTGGCGCCGGAATATGGATGCGAGCTGTGGGTCAGGCTGTCGGAGCGGCAGCCTTTCGACTCAAAGGCTTTGCGGAAGAAAGGTCGCAGCGTTGGGATGCAGGCCGCCACGATGACAACGTTTTGCTCGATGCTGTGTATCCAGTAAGACAGGTCAACCTTTTTTTGAGGATTGAGGAACAAAAACGTACAAGCCCCAGACTACTAGCGGTACTACATTATAGACTGAACAGATTCCATATTAGTCACAAGGGTGAACTGCTGGAAAGAGGCCGCAACTTACGTGGATCCGTCCGATCAGTAAACAGGTGCAGATAGGTGGCCTTGATGATGGTCACGACCGCCGAGAGCAACGTCAGCCCCATCATGATGCATACCCTCACCTTGGTCGCGGTTCGCATCTGCAGCTTCCAGAAGACGCGGATGGGCACCACGGCCAGGACGATGTCCGTCATGGTGGTGTAGGCGCTGACCCAGTAGGAGAAGTCGTCGAAGACGCTGGCGTCCCAGCAGTGGCCCTCCCGGGCGGCGTCCCACAGTTTCTGGGTGGGGCGACACTGGAAGAAGACGATGAAGACGGAGACCATGGCGAAGACGACCTGCATCGTCACCATGGCGTAGAGACAGCGCGTGCGCAGCGGATTCGGGTCGAGGAGGTGGCTGATGAGGATGGCGATGGAGATGTTGGGGAAGCTAAAGGCGCCTGCATTCAACCAATGCATCAGTTATTTTATCAAGAACTATCGCCGGCAATGAGGGATCGGGAAAAGATTCGGGCGTACCGATATTGAATGCTGCGATCATGTTAACTACCTAGGCATAGCATGCTGAGCAGGAAACTCACGGAATGCTATGATCTGCCACTTCGCCGTTTGAACATATCGGTCGATGCCATGGTCGGCAATCACCGCGGCCGTATGGCGACCGAGCCCTAAGGTGACCGCGTAGGAGACGAATGCCGCCGCGATGATGCTGAGGCCCTGCAGTCCAGTATCCCTCTGGTCAGCGAATTTATGCTTGTCCATCCATTCCTCATACTCTACCAAGTTGCTAGGTTAATCACCATGGAAAAGAAAATGAAGAAGTCATCCCATCCCAAGCTCTTCGCAACATGTCCTCGCGCAAAAAGCTTCAACGCGACCACGGCAATGGCAGTGCCAGTGAATATCCATGCGACTGCATTGATCACACCGGCTCGACTTTCACTGAAATCCACATCCGTGTCGAATGAAGCCATTCAGGCTGCCTCGAAACACACGGTCGGACCGTGCAGTCTGCCAGCCTCGAATGCTGCAAAGTTGAAGGTGCCCGCCCGCAAAGTGGCCCAAGCACGAGAGATGGCCCGGTTTTTCTCTCGGTCTCGACGAACAAGCATTGGCATGATGGGAACACCCAGGCAGTTTGGGCCTAAAACGCACGATATAAGGAGGGCAGAGCGTGAGAGGAGCAGCGGTTCCGGAAATATAACTCCTCTGGCACCAGCGTCATTAGTCGCAATTGTTCGGCGGCGCCATGGGTCCTCTAGCGGCCTCGGTAAACGTCACAGGATCGGAAGGATCGGGTTGGGTCCAAGGTTTCTGCGAACCACATTACTGTGTACGATTTACGAGCATTAGTACCATGGAGCCAATATGTCAAGGCCGGTATTGTAGGGTTTCGCGGAGATGGCGGGAAGTGGAGTCCCTCCTTATCTCCGACGATTCCAGCCTGCGGATCGTTCCGTTTTTCCCCAGCTTGTTCACTCCTCCACCGTTGGTTTTGAATACAAGCTTGGGGCCTTTCGTTGTTGATGGGGCCTTTCGTTGTTGATGGAGCCTTTCGTTGTTGATGGAGGCAATGCGGAACGCAAGATAATGTGCAATTCGCAGTATCCTCTCTTCAGTGGGGGTAACTGTCTCAGTGATATGCCGAGAATATCTCGAGGCAGCAACGGGGCGGGACAAGCTCCGCGTGGCTCGCAGTCGAAGGAGCGCTAATACGCGTTAACCCTCTTAGCTTGACGGCGGTGCCCTCGCTACTACAAAATGGCATGACGGACTTCCTACGGAGATGGTCTTAGCATGTCCCAAAAGGCCAGCTGTCTCTAGCAGACACCCTTGTCTCGCTCCATGGACGCATATGCACCTCGGCGTTCGTCCTATATTATGTCCTGTACGTATAGTTCCTGCAGCAGGATCCTTGTCTGCCACGGGGACAGCTGCAGGGATATCTCATCCTTCGAGGACTAAGACTTTACTGCATAAATCTTCTCCTATCACTCAGTCCCCCCGACACAGAAGAAGCTGGGGTTGAAGATAGATTGACGACTGAATGAAAAAGGCGAAAGCCACCCAGCCTCGTCTCGAGCAAGCACACGTGTTGAGCTACAGACAGACTGTTTCTATCCACTTCTCCATGGGCTAGAATGTGACTAGCTTGCACTGAACATGGCAGCAATCTTTCTTCCGGCTACCCCTCACTGAAAAAGGAAAAGATATATGAAGCCCTGGACGCTCCCGTGAACCCCTCACTGCGTTTCTCTCTGTTTACCACTCCCACCTTGCCAATCAAAATCATGATGAATCCATCGGTTTCTGCCATCTTGGAAGACTTGGCCGCAGCAGGCAAGGCCTATGACCAGGCTGAGGCTGGCTCCCGAGAAGCCCTCATTGATCGCAGCCGTGCGCTGGTGGCCGCGCTGGAGATGCCCAGTGAGTTCATTCAACGCAGCTTCTGGGCCGAGGTATGAGCATCATCCCAGTTTCATTCCCATTGATGTACTCACTTGCTAATTCACTCACTTGCGACGACGACAGCCCGCCATGTCCGCCGTCATCCGCATCGCCGTCGACGTCCAACTATTCCAGCTACTCCGCGACGCAGGGGAGGCGGGCCTGAGCCCGGCCGACCTGGCCGACAAGACCGGCGTCGACGTCGTGCTCCTGCAGCGATTGACGCGCCACCTCGTGGCGATGTACCTGATCAGCTTCCATCACGGCGCCTTCCACGGCACGGCGCTGAGCGACCAGCTCGCCGCCGACAACTACCAAGACAGCATCTCCTTCTGCTACGACACGGCGCGCCCGTCCTTCAACAACTTCCCTGCCTTCTTCCAGAACACCCACTACCGATCCCCGACCGTGGGGAGTCTGGACGGCCCCTTCCAGCGCGCCCATCACACGCCCCTGCACTTCTTCGACTGGCTCGTGGCCAACCCGCCCAACCTGCAGCACTTCGACTCCTTCATGAGCGCCTACCGCGCCGGCAAGCCCAACTGGTGCGACCCGGGCTTCTACCCCGTCACCGACCGCCTGATCGCCGGCTTCGAGCCCAGCAGCGACAAGAACGCCGAAGGCGTCCTCCTCGTCGATGTCGGGGGCGGCCGAGGCCACGACGTAACCATCTTCACGCAGCAATACCCGACGCACCCGGGGCGAATCATCCTGCAGGACCGCGAGCCCGTGATCGCCGCGTTAGCTCCTGCCAGCACCACCCCGAGGCCCGCATTCACCGCGCAAGCCCACGACTTCTTCACGCCGCAACCCATCGCCGGGGCGCGCGCCTACTACCTGCATTCGATCCTGCACGACTGGGACGACGAGCGCGGGGTGCAGATCCTGCAAAACCTGGCGCCCGCGCTGCGCCGGGGTTACTCGCGGGTCCTGCTGAATGAGATCGTGGTCAGCGAGGAGCGGCCGACGCTCGCGGCCACGAGCATGGATCTGATGATGCTGGCGCACTTCGCCGTGCGCGAGCGCACCGAGCGCGAGTGGCGCGCCATCCTGGACCGGGCGGGGCTCCGCATCGTGGAGATCTACACCTATCCCGGGGTGGCGGAGAGTTTGATTGAGGCCGAGTTGGCTTGATTCTGAGGGGTGGATTGGATTTAGCGTGTTGCTTTTTTTGATATGCCAGGCACAGAGATCAGTCAGTCAGACAGACAGACAAACATAAAATTGCAAGTTAAGATGAGCCGAGCTGAGCCTGGGCGATCTGATTTGGGACACGCAATTCAGAAAAGCACACTAGAAGTAACGCAGCAACCACAAACCATATTGCCTCAAACAACTATCCATTTCGATAGCAAAGACAAGCGATCGGCGGGTGAGGACAGTACAGTCACGTAAAGTACACTGTTAACTGCAATCCGGTCCATAAAATCTAGATCCTCTGGTTTTGTCTCTCCGGGGTAAACTTATACCTCCCTCCCTCCCTCCCTCCCTCCCTCCCTTCCTCCGTTCCCTCCTTCCACTCTTGTGACTGGGTTGTCCAGATTCAATAGCCTGGCGGAGTAGCTCTTCATCTCTCTAGAATCCCGGTTCTTGGAGTTGAACTGCTTATTTTCTAGTATGGGATTGAGGAATAGAGTCAATGATCCAGAGCTATAATGTACTATACTATACTATACTAACTTATACTATATTATACTACACTGTACTACACTAGTACACTACACTACACTACACCCGCTGCAAGCCAATCAGTTCAAATCATGAAATCTATGCTGTGTCTTTTTTTAGTCTCCAGCATTCGATATCGAACTTCCCTCCGGCCCTCCTCTTTAACTCGAAAATAAAGAAACATGGGACTCGGTGGAATTAGTCATGGTATCCCGGTTCGAATACATGTACCGCACAGAACTCAAAGGGGCTGATGCGGGGGTTGAGGTTGAGGTTGTATTTCCACAAGATGCTGGATGCCGGGCAGAAGGGAATGCCAAACTGATATAGTAGTAGTCGATTCGGTAAACTACTTTGCTGAAAAGGGGCCGTTCAGTTGGGATGATTCACAATTTGGTAGAGAGGAGGGGAAAAATTAGACCACATCATCTAGTTCAAGCAACGGGAGTCATATAACTACGTATCTGCTTGAGCACGCACAGCTATTGTTGGTAACACTTCGAAGGGGGGCGGCTTTGAAAAGTCAGACTGGTCAATCATCGGCTCAGCCGATACCGTTGCTGAAAATTCATTGAGCTACTGCATTGAGCTACTGTTCAAACTGAATAATATATCGATCATGAAAGCTATGCAAGCTGCGAGCCACGCCGGGAAAACACCATCTATCCGCTGATCACACTCCAATCGCCTTGTCCAGCAAACTGCTCGGCGCCACAAAACTAAACCCGCCAAACGGATTACTCTCCCCCAGTCCCAGCGAGACCGGCGGCACCGCCGCCTGAGACGCCTTGTAGTGTTCATCAAACCCATGCACAATCGGGCTGAGCGGCAGCTGCGTGAAGTCCACCGAGAAGTTCTCCGCCAGCGCCGGGTCCGTCACCACGGGGACGATGGGCGGAGTCACCTCGCGCCGCTCCAGGGCCTTCCAGTCGATTTTGCGGAAGAAGCGGTGGTTCTTAATCGTCTGCAGATCCTTGGGCATGTGGTACCCCAGCCGCTTGGCGGGTTCCTTGCGGAGGAGGCGCGTCAGCAGGTCCTTGGCGTCCGGGCCCAGGAAGTAGGGCAGCGCCAGTTTCTGCTTGAGGATCTTCTCCTGCAGCTTGGCGTTGTTGTTCGCCTTGAAGGGCGGGGATCCCGTGAGCAGATCATAACCCAAGGCACCGAGGGACCACCAGTCGCAGGCCTTGCCGTAGGGCTTGCCCTGGATGACCTCCGGGGCCATGTACTCGATCGTCCCCAGCGACGAGTTGCAGCGGTCGTCATCACTGACGGCGATCTTGCTCAACCCGAAATCCGTCAGTAGCAGGTGCCCTTCCTTGTCGAGCAGGCAGTTCTCCGGCTTGAGGTCCCGGTAGATCACCCCGACCGTCTGGTGCAGGTGCTCCAGCGCCAGCACCATCTCCGCCATGTAGAAGGCGGCCGCGTCTTCGTCGAACATGCGCTCCATGGCCAGGTGGTGGAATAGCTCGCCGCCTTCGGCGTACTCCAGGATGAGGTACAGCTTCTCGTGGTCCTGGAACGCGTAGAATAGCTTGACCACGAACGGGTGGCGGTTGACGCTCTCCAGAATCATGCGCTCCGTCTTGGTCTGCTCCACCAGCTTCTTGTGCACGGTGATCGACGCCTTGCGGAACTGCTTCTGCGCATACAGCTTGCCCGTCAGGACGTGGCGCACCAGCAGCACGGTCCCGAACGATCCCTTGCCCAAGCAAAGCAGCGGTTCGAAGTCGTCAGACGCCATCTTGCGGCAGAGCTGCTGGGTGCGCACATTGCGCCCGTTCGACGCCTCCTGCGACTTTTCCTCCGCCACCACATCGGCGCTGACGTAGTCATGCTCCAGAGGCACCTCATAGCTGGTCAGTACTTCCGTCTGGTCACTGTCCGAGCAGACGCTGGCATTGCTGGGCGTCTCCGAGCGGGTCCCCTGGCCGGACAGGCTCATGGAATCCAGCTGAAGCTTCAGGGCGCTCACCCCACACCCGGTGGCAGGTTGGACCAACGGGCTGCTGGGGCCGGTCCCGGTTGGCGCGCGGGGACGGGGACGGGAGCTCGGCGCGCGCGAACTGCAGGCTGAGCGGTCCGAGTCCTCGTCGCCCGAGCCGCGAGGGGTGAATCCACGCACGGTCGAGATGGCCGGAGCCACCGCGTGAGCAGCGGCCGCCTGCTTTTTCTTCTTCTTACGACGGTCCGCTTTCCCAGCCAAGAGGTTCCCATTCAAATCTGGCGCAGGGAAGGGTTTGGCGCCATTGACCCCCGCGGGGGGCATCATTGCGACCTTCCGCTCAGGACTACGGGCACTAATCCGGAAGCCGGTTTCTTGGCCATCGTTAATGGTAATGTCCGCACGAGAGTGCGACATGTCGGCCTGCGGGCTGAAAACATCCGCGACCGAAAGGTCATCCGGTGTCATGGTCGCCGAGAAATCCATTTTTTCCCACAAGAAGAGGGCGAGGTACAATTTCGCAAGAAGAGACCGATCACATGCACTCAGGCATCGACAAGTTCGAAGTACGCTCGTCCAAGCGGCAACCTAGTAGTGATCTGAACAAAAAACCGATTAGATCCATCAGGCATAGATGCATATACACAAACACGCACACGCGGGGTAAATTCAAAACCGGTTTTTCCAGGAGACGCAAGGGGATCGAACTGTAAACTCACCCACACACCAATTGTAGATCGAGGATTCAAAGAACACCCCGCGCGCAACTCTTGTGAAGGAGTGGTTCCGCAGGAGCCCCTCGAAACTAGCACCAAATTACCGTCCGCCCTTATTCAGGACGGACCCTGGACCCTTAGCCAAATCACCTCGCCAGCAGTGAAATCAGGCGAACGAGTGGATGACACGGCCTGGGTGCCAGCCAGAGTGGAGTAATATCGCGACACCGTAGAAACTGTCGAGGGGGAGAGATCGGGGAAAGCGGGGGAATCGGTAGGGCAGCCAGCGGCGGAGCAGCGGAGAAGAGCGGACGACAAAAGCGTGGATGGCGCAGACAGGCACATAGAGATACAACAGGCTAGGTAGCCAACGAGGGAGGTGATCTGAGTAAGAGATGGGAAAGTGAAATAACACACAACGAATGTGTTTTCTAGGTTGTGGGGATCAAACAAAATTCCCTTAAAGAGGGGGAGAGAGGGAGAGAGGGAGATTTAAAGGAGGAGGGAAAAGGAAAGGGAAAGTTGAAATCAGGCTTCTTAGGAGGAAAGCTGACATTGCCAGGTGAGAAACAACCAAGGCCGATGATGCCCGCTGAACCAATCATCAGCCGCCGGGTGCTAAGCGACGCTAGTCCACTTCAAGTCAGGGTTGCGTCACGTGCTGCTGTCATTGGCCCCCAATTTTCAGGCCTCCATCTTGCCTATTCAGGTAACTTACTCTCTGCACCTCCAGTTGGCAGGCCAGGCATTCATCCGAATGACCTGTCGCATACAAACCCAAAAGCATGACACCTATCATATGGCCCATCTGTAACCAAGCACAATTCCATATCCAATGAAATCCTAACATGAGGTACCAAGGTACAATACATCCTTCCTACTCAAAAAATGATTGCGACCGAGTAATTTGAACCCCAGATCGTTCTACAAACGACAACGCGCTGGGCTTCTGGACCAACACCGTCACTCGCTCATTACCAAACTCCATCGTCACAATGCGCGCCACGAAAGTGGCCAGCGCCTCGACAGTCTGGAAACTCGTAGCTTCGACCCGCTAACCCACCCCGACATTAGCAAATGTGCATTCAGGAAAGACACACCGCAGCAATGAGCTCTGCTTACCTCTGCCACAGCCCGCGTCATGGCCTGATAGGTATTGATCACCGTGGACCCCCAGGGCAGTTGACCGGGGCCCTTGAACTCCAACGAGACGATGACCGCCTGCTTCTCGACTCGCTCGTGGGAGTTGACCCCCAGGATACAATAGCACCGAATCCCATCGATCCGGAACTCCTCCTCCAGCACCACCGGGCACCGCTCGGCCTCCACCAGGTTGTCCACCGCAGCCGCCCCGTTCCGCTGCCGGTATCCCCAGACGGTCACACTCCGGTATTTGAGCCCTTCCTCCGCGCGGAGCAGCGCCTTGGGCAGTTGCAACGAGACCTCGCACTGTCCAAATACCGCGTCGATGGCCGGCGGGCCGGCGGCGGCGGCAGCCGACGGGTTGCCGAAGATGGCCGCCTGGGCCTGCGCCTGGGAGCCTGCCGACGCACTGCTCCGGCGCCGGGTGTCGTGGTGCTGGTGCACATGGGACATCCGCCGAACGCCGGCGGCGGTCTCGTCGAGAAGGCCCAGCCCGCAGTTCGCGACGATCCCCGCCGTCAGCCGCACGTCTTCCCCGAGCGCAGCCCCCAGCATCTCATCCCGTCGGCTGCCGTCGATGCTGACCAGCTGCTGCGCCGATGCATCGCCCGACTTGCCTATGTTGCGGATATCCTCCTCCAGGCGGCGATAGAGCTTTCCGTAGTCCAGTGATAGAGAGACATCGTCGGCGATGGCGGCGGCGACCGCGGAGGAATAGGATAGGTTCAGCGATGCGGAGCAGGGCTGCGGCTTGCTGGGACGGTGCCATGGGTCCGGGGCCGCAGGAAGCGTCAGCTGGATGTTTTGGAGCCGCACGCTGTCGAGGACCGGCGGACGGGGTGGGATATGGACGTTTACGCGTTGGTCAGCCATGATGCTAGCTGATGGTTGTGGTTGTGCAGAGATCAAAGGATGGATGAGGTGGGAGAGAGTGTGAGAAAGAGAGGTTGCGAGCTGAGAGGGAAGCTAGCTCGCAAGTGGGTGACCGTCGGGAAGATGCTGAAGCTACCGAAATTCGAGGCCCTGCCGTGACGTCAACCCACAAGACGTCAAAGTGAATTCAAAAGACTCGAGGAAAGGTAATTTCAGGAAAATTATCTCGCACCTATTGTTAATTCAGAGATGACCCTGTCTAGCTCTCGTGTCAATGCGACAGGCGCAGGGGAGAAACCAGTAGTCGAGTCATTGGCAAAATAAAGTGGTGGGGACGCCTCCGTCTTAGCGCGGGGAACTTTCTTCATTGCCTTGCTGCCTGGCTGCCTTGCTGCCTGGCTCGCACATCTTCTCCCCTCCTAATCCTACTCCTACTCCACACCAAAGGCAAGCTTGCTTCCATTGTTTACTAGCCACTCTGGCAACCACTTCCCTTTCCCTTTTCAACCAGTGTTATTATTCAGTAGATCCAATATACACATACATTTGCCCATGAACCCATGGAGGAGAAGTGAAATTCACATCGTTAGATATTACGTCGCAAAGAGTTGAAGGCCATCCAGGGTCGCGTGCTGCATCATCAGTTGGCTGCGCTGAGGTCGACCAAGAGACCAAGTCGCGCGCGGAACTCGAGAGACCAGCCCAGAGCATAGATCGTCGAATCATTGGGTCATCATACCACGTCCGTTAATGATCAGAAGCGCCTTCGTCTCTTTCTTCGTTATTTTCTTCTTTCTTCGCCGCCTTTCGTCTGCGGTGTACACACATCCGCATGGTATTTTCAGCCGTACCCGGTCCAGGAGTGTAAGTGCAGGCGACCGGAGTCGGATTATTTTGTGGATCAGAGAGAAACAGAGCGCAAAGGAAAACAGTTCAATCAGAAAGCACAGTGGGTATCCGCCATGCACTTAGTGAAACACAATCAAATGACAGCAAGCGAGCCCCTACCAGTAGCCGCGGCGTTCATACGGCATGTACTCACCCCGTGGAGGACTCCGGGGACGGGGGTAGGCTCTGGCTTGCATGTAGGGGTCATCGTAGTGCCGGGGTGGAGGTGGCGGACGAACATCATACGGATCCTCATAGGGTCGACGCGGAGGAGGGTAGTCTTCAATCCGTGGGCGAGGTGGCGTCCGGCGCCCGTACCCATCCCGTTCATAGTATTCCCGCCGCATGGGGATAGGAGACCGTTCCCGGTAATGAGCCCGCGGACTGTAGCCACGGGGTGCGGGAAATCGGCGGTCGTATTCCTCCATTGGGGGAAAGCTCCGACGAGGGGATCGCGACCGGTAGGGGTCACGGAAAGAACGGTCTTCCGGGGGAAAGCTTTGGATCTAAGGAGAAATGAATAATGTGGACTGGATGTGGATCTGTCAAGAGTCCTTACATCGGCGATACATGTCACACGAGATCCCTTGAACTCGCGCTGGTCGAGCTTCTCGACGGCAGTTTTCAAGTCGTTGGCGGTTTCGAACTCAACGAACCTTTGTTCATAGTGTTAACGGTAATCCAACGAGGCGTCCAGGGGAAAGAGAATGCGACGCACCCTCTGCCAAGCTCACGGCCGGTCTCGGAGTATACCACATCAAGGCCAGACTGGCGGGCAAAGTCTTTCAGATCCTAGAGTACGAATTGGTGAGTTCATTTCCCGGTGAAGCAAGTCTGATATCCGGTAGGTCCAGGTGGTTGAGAGCAGAACGATGAGGCGCCAGTCGCAAAGGGTCCCAAAAGAAAGACCAAGAATCAAGATCCAAGGCAGGGTAGTCCAAAAGGGGCATAAAGTTCTCCTTCCAGGTTGAGGTCGTCCAGTCTTCAACCTAGCTCGTTGGAGAGCCTAGGTTGCTGCTCGAGTAATGCGTGTAGCTCCCAAAATATCGCTCGCAGTCGGCACATATCCAAAACTGGGGCAGGCTCGGAATATGCAGACAAAATGTGTAGGTAATAGGTAAAAGGCAAAAAGAAATAGGCAGAGATGTCAAGGAACGCTGATGAGCCGGGCTTCAAGGCGTCCGTTTATTCCTAGGGAAAGGGGACTTGGGCTGCTAACCTGCCAACTTGTTTCCGGGAGTCCAGAAAGTAACATGCGAAAGATCGTGCGGCGGGGGCGAGGCATGTTGGGACGGTCCATCGGGCCAGGGAAGTTTTCCTTGCGGCGCGGGCCACGGGCAAATTGCACGGTGAGTCGCTCGCCCTTGAAATCGCTGCCATCTGTGGGTTGGCAAGAGTCAATTGGTAGCCCTGGAGAGGGGTCTGGACAGTATCACGTACGAAAAGCTAGAAGAAGAGTAATTGTTAGTCAATGGCAAGTGACGTGGCTTACGCTGGCCAGGAAATTGAGGGCTCACCGGGAACAACATCTCGGGCATCCATCGCATCTTCGTACTCAATGAAGCCGAAGCCATTCATCAATTTGATCTCTGTGATCTTTCCGGAACCATGGGTGCTGAAATGCTCCTCGATATCCTGCTTAGTTACTGAATTGGGACTGCGACGCCCACAAGGGCGCCGCATTCAAAGGTCAGCTCATTGCGGAAAACAAAATACGTAAATGGGTCCAAGAAAAGTAAATTGAGAATCCTCCCCTACAGTGTCCGGGTTCGAGGGAACCCTGCGCAGAGTGGGGAGGAGCGCGCGCAGGCCTGGTTCCTGGCTAACAACCCCAACAGATAGGATCTGAAAGCAAGAAAGAGATGCAATGGCCACTGAACCAACGTCACTTGAGGGACTGGAAAGACATCCATCCAGAACACATGGCAATCCAGTGGACATCCTGTTACTGTGGCGCAGGTGGACTGGAACAGATTTGAAAGGAAGAAATCCATATCGGATGGAAAGGAGACCTTGAAGAACGGATAGATGGCTGCATACCATTGCGGGGAAGGTTCCCGAGATAAAGTCGGGTGGACGAGACTTCAGTCATGGCTGGAACTCAGAAAGCAAACAAAGCAAGTCGCGGGATAATCCAATCGGCAAGGGGAGATTAACGTGTGGCCTCGGAAGTTCTTCCAGTTGGTGATCTGGGAAAATAAGCCACAGATGAGGATGATGGCCTGGTTATTGTTCTCTCCAACGGTGTGTACTCCAGGTAGCTAGTTGCGACAGAAACGGTAGCTCGAGATAGTTCGGTTTTCCTGGCAGTCCGGGAGCCGGGGAATACACAGTCGAGATATTCCGGATGAGTTTAGTAGACCTGGTGATAGGTAAATAAGAGACACCACCAGCTTGGAGCTGGGAGTAGTGTGTGTGCGTGTGTGTGTGTGTGTGTGTGTGTGTGTTGGCTACCGTTGGCGGGTTATCGCAATCGAGGGAAAAGGATAGGGGGGGGGCGGAGGGGTTAGTCGAGGTAAATTGTTGTCAGACTGTTTATTATGTCGGGATAATCTGATAGATGAATGGATAGGGGGGTTACGGAGGAAGGAAGGACGGTGACAAGAGTTCGAGCAGCTGGAAAAGAGGATAAGGAAGAGTTAATAGAAACGAAGAGACAAGAGGGAAAGAAGAAGAGAAAGAGGAGAAGAGAAGAACAGGAATCGAGCGAGCGATCGTCACGGCGCGAAAAGAGGAGAAAGCAAAGAGGCGGCGGCGGCGGCAGAGCAGAGCAGAGCAGAGTTGCGGGCGGGACTGCGACTGCGAGCTTGACCGCCAGGGCAATTGTTTCGGACCACTGGCGGTGGAGGGCATCCAATGGCGGACGACCTTCCCGGATCGCCTCACTCTGCGGTTCCACGTGGCCCCGCCTTATCCAGTTCCTGACTTGCCTATGGAGAGGATGTTATGATAGCTAGTGGAAGGTAAATAAATGGACGATGCCGGTTGAGGTAGAGCAAATGGGTGCCGGAGGACTTATATAGGAATGCTGAGCTCGCCGTATATCTTCCATAGTTAACCGTGTTCTTGGCTTGAACACAAAATGTAAATGTATATATTCCCGTGACTCTAGCCCAGTGTTCTACCTTCGAGGCTCCCCCACACTACACCAGGAACACATTTCTTGCCGTGCAGCCTCATTTTTAGTGCTGCTATGGAGCCCTAAAAAAAAGCTAGTGATAGATACACCTGCAGATACATGTACCGGTACCTATATGGTGAGCGAATTCGATACATTTCGATGTAATCGATGATACTTCAATGGTATAACACAACTGAGAACAATGAGGTAGGGGGTCCATGAGCGTTGAAGGCTCAAAGAGCTACCGAGTCTGCTGCTAAGCGAAGATTGTTAGGTATGCTGTACGCATAGTATTGCAACAGTAATGATATAGATTCTTCAGCCACGCTGCCTCGTCTCCGTAGTCCCAGAGTATAAGGTTGGATGAATCAACAAGCAGCAAGCATACCTATTCGTGTCGGCAGTGACTGCAGATCTTGAGCACAAACCCTTGCGAAATGCATTCCTCCATTTCCCAAATGATTCATTTGTGATGTATAACACCCTCAGCAAACAACATGCAATCTACAGATCAACCCAGCTGAACCGCGGCTGGCAAAGCGGATGATCCGCGCAGAGTTCCAGCTAGGCTATACAAGGACTAGTGGCTTGGCACTTTGCCGCCCCATGGCTGTACGGTAGCAATAATAGAGACTGTCATATACTGTGTACGAGTACTTCTGTAAATTAATGCTTAGGAATGAGGCGAATTCACCGAGACTTGACGCTAAAAGCCGTATGTACATGGTTCCATATCATATGATCAATCCCGCTGCTTTTGCTACAATACAATGGATATGCCTAATCAGGTCATAAAATACTTCGGTCCCTCGCCACCCTGAGGTGTCTGCCAGTTGATATCCTGAGTGGGTACCTTGATATCGCAAGTCTTGCAATGGATGCAGCTGTGCCATGGTTAGTGTTTTGTCAAATAAGGGGAAATATGATGGAAGAGCTAACTTCTGAGCATTGATCTGGAAGCGAACACCATGCTGCTTGCTGGAGTCCTCCACATACTCATATACACCGGCCGGGCAGAACCGGTTCTCGACACCCTGGTACTTGGGCCAGGCAACATCCGTATGCTTGTCCCAGTCATCCACTTGCAAGTGGACGGGCTGGTCCTCCTCGTGGTTGGTTCCGGTCCGGCTGACGCTGGTAAGGATATCGAAGCTGATCACGCCGTCCGGCTTGGGGTACTCAATCTTGTTACACTGGGAGGCCAGCTTCGTGGCCGCGGCGTCGGTGGTGTGGTGCTTTAGCGTCCAGGGAGTCCGTCCCTTGAGAATGTACGCCTCGAGGCCAGAGTACAGGATTCCACCATAGAGACCAAGGGGGGTGCTGAAAGAGGGCCGCATGTTGCGTACCTCGTACAGCTCCTTCCAGATCGACGATTTGCGCAAAGCCTCCTCATAGTCGAAGAGGAATACACTGCCGTCAGGGTTACCCTGCAGAGCTGCAAAGGTGGATTCGGCAGCCAACATGGCAGACTTCATCGCGGTATGGGTTCCCTTGATCTTGGGAACGTTCAGGAATCCGGCGCTGTCGCCAATCAAGGCGCCACCGGGGAAAGCGCACTTCGGGATGGACTGGAAGCCACCCTCGTTAAGGGCTCTCGCACCATACGAGATGCACTTGCCACCCTCCAAGACTTCCTTGAAGAGAGGGTGGTGCTTAAGTTTCTGGAACTCACCGTAGGGCGACAACCATGGATTCGGGTAATCCAGGCCCACGACCAAGCCAATGCTGACCATGTTGTCGCCGAAGTGGTACATCCAGGCTCCACCGTAGGTATCCGACGGAAGAGGATATCCCATGGAATGCGTAATTTCACCCGACTTGAACTTCTCGGGCTGGATCTCCCAAATCTCCTTAAGACCAATACCATAGGTCTGCGGTTGGCTATCGCGACGAAGGTCGAACTTCTTAGCCACTTGCTTGGTCAAGCTTCCATGACAGCCCTCGGCCAGCAAGGTGACCCGCGCATGGAACTCCATACCCCGCTCGAAACTATCCTTCGCTTTGCCGTCGCGACTGATGCCAAGATCGTTGGTTGCGACACCAAGAACGGAGCCATCCGACTTGTAAACCACCTCACTGGCTGCGAATCCGGGATAAATCTCGACACCAAGTTCCTCCGCCCGCTCTCCTAGCCACTTGGTGAGCTCGTTCAAGCTGATGATGTAGTTGCCATGGTTGTTCATCTGTGGTGGCGCGGGGATCGGGAAGGACGAGTTCTGCGTCAGGAAGCGCATCTTATCCGCCTTCGCAGGGGTCGCCCCCTCGAAGCGGGATGGGTTGTCCTCCGCAAGCCAGTCGGGCAGAAGTTCGTTCAACGCCGTCGGCTCGAGTACGTTGCCGGACAGGACGTGGGCGCCAAGTTCGCCGGCCTTTTCCAACAGAATGACGCGGAACTCCTCGTTGCCGGCTTCATTTGCTAATTGCTTCAATCGAATAGCTGCGGCGAGACCGGCAGGACCTATTCCAAGCGGCAAACAATAACGGTCAGTCACATTACACTCTTCCACTTGCGCGATGCATTCCACTCGCGCGACCGAGTCTATGCGGAGTCCCTACCGCCACCGACGATACAAACATCCACCTCATCCGATTCTCTGTCCAGCTGACGGGGATCAAAATTGCCATCGGCATCGGTTAATCTTCGTGTTACCGATTGTGAAAAGGCGCGTGTCTGAATGGGAGTGAACAGCGAGCGTGGTCGAATGGCTTTACGGTAAGCGGCTGGCAAGGAGCGGTTTGAGGGCCGTGCAGAGGTTGCGAGTGACGACAACGAGGCGGAAGCCTTGGGGAGGCGCAGGGAAGAGGGCCGCAACTCGCGCCTCAACAACGGCAGAATCGCGCCTTTGGAGGCCATTGTTTAGGCGATTAGGCGAACAAGATGTGATTAAGACTGAAGGGGAAGGAGATAGGAGTGGGGACGAGGGTCACAGTAGGGCTGGAAGTTGCGAATCCTATGCTGAGAACAAATGCATTATAGACGGCGGATAGATCGCGACAGTAGAAGGTAGAGGGGGTATCGTCAACAAGAGTATTGTAGCCCTGTAAAATCGCAGTCGTAGCAGTAACAAACTACTAGAATCAGAGGAGTCACTTCTCCGACCGGCCAGATTGAAGCACTGATCCAATGGAGGGAGGAGTGTGACTAAGAGGATGAAGGAGAGGGGGGAAAAAGATGGATTGAAATTTTGGTGGTCGGCCCGAGGTAACGGCGGCCAATGGAAAGGCGGATAATGTGAATCAACTCGCCCTCAATACTACTAGGTATCCTACTAGGTAAAACTACTTCCGCTCATACAGCCGTGAATCCCGTCGGGACATGCGCAAGGGCAACAGTCACTCCAGGCTGCAGTTAGTGCTGTCTGTACAATACGTACTCGGTGTCCTGCCACCGATGGACCCTGAGTCTCCGACCGACCGCGAAGCTGCTTCTTGCACATACGTCGTGATGATCGAATGGTTCGCGTCGCCGATCTTGTGCTACTCAAATACTACACATGTATGAGTAATGAGTCCATGACACTTCCAGTTGGTTCAAATGTCACCTTGCCAGAGATAGCCGTGGCACCAGGTGCAGCCTGTGGCAGGTACTTAGTCAGACCTGGCCTTCAAATCACATGAAGGCAACCAACAGTCGAGCAGATTCAAAAATAATCTCAGAGATATCGAGAAGATAACCAAAGCCTCGATGACGACACGCGATCGAGATGTCATGGACGATTTCCGGTTGCCTGCCCGGCTATATACTACTCAGCATACTCTGAACCCATGTGATGAACACCGGCTGACAAAGATCCCGACACTCTATGAGTGTGGCGATGCAGCAACAACTGAGAATCCACCGAATAAATACACAGTAAATAAGCATCTGAATGCACAACGATGTGGCACAACGCGTCTCTAGTCATGTGGTCCATGTACTATACATGCATGTACAATATTCGTCTCACTGGCTACGGATTACTATACATAGTACGAAGTATCGTACTTCGTCCGCTTCATCATGATTATGCCGTCTACCGAACACACCGAGTATTGAGTCTTGGTGGCAAGAGTCGAGTAATGATAAAAGCCTACTGTGTACTGTGAACCATTCTTTGCGATGGAGGCTTGGAAAAGGACACTTGGCCAGATTACGTAGGCCGGCTCAACAGACGGAAGGCATGCAGCATAGCCAGTTAGGAGGGTTGAATGATAAGCTTGAGGGCTAGTTCAGTGCTGATACTGGTCATGTCTGAGATTAGGATCGATATATAAATGAAGATTCCCAGCCCAAAGTGACCAGTGCATCAAGGCTGCAAGTTGACCGAATACCGATCGGGCTGGTGGATCACAGTTGGTGGTCTGAGATCCGGGGTAGATTAAGAAGCTCGAGCAGGGATTGGAACTTGGAAGTACGGACTACCGTACGTACTACATGTGTAGGAGAGCAAGAAAGTACCATCGGCTGGAGCCTTGCCCTTGAGGCTTGTTGGAGGCGGCAGGCAACGCCAAATGAAAAGGGAGGACGCGTCCAGTCCGCCGACCCCATGACGCGACCGGCTTGAAACCCTTCCCAAAATTTTTCTGTCGCGGTCGGTTTAGCATCTTTTCCAGCCGGTTGATCCATCCTCCATCCCCCATCCTCCATCCTCCACCCTCCACCCTCCATCGTTCTGTATCTTGATTTCTTTCGATCATAGCGATTCTCAGAACGCAAAATGTGACTGAATGTTAGTCGCAAGATGATTTCAGACCAGAAGCATCATATTCAATCGAGAATCCTTTTTTTGGGGCCGCGATCAAGGCAGCGCTGAGGCCCCAAACAAGCTCATGGAAAGGAAGAGAAACCGGGCCAAGAGAGCAAATTTTTCTTTCTCTTTTTTTTTTTTTTTTTCTCTTTTTTTTCATCCTCCATCTTTGCTTTTGTGGAGGGTTGGCTACCAGTTGCTAAAGCGGCAGGACCGTGATGGCGGGCAGACGCGTTAGTCTACCTCGCTATCTCCCTAGTCGCCGAGAACAGCAATCCGGCATGATTGGAAGGAAACGGAATGGATGGACTTTGCAAAAGTGGATCGCAGGAGGAACGCGGACTGGTTCAAATCGAGTGGCTGCAACCATGGCGCCGGTCGGGAAAAAAGAGTAAGGGGGGCGACAGCCAACGAGAACAGGTGCACGCCAGTGGACCTCCTAGACAATGTGTTTACCGTGGGTCCGCCGATCAACAAACCAGCGCTTGTGCTTGGGGGTTCTTGGGGGGTCTTGGGGGGAGGTCTTTGCTTGGGAGTGCGAAGTGGGCGGCGTTGGCCACCCTCCAAGAGCCGCTAGTGGAGCGTTAGGTCCATAGAAAAACACTGAAAACACTAAAAACACTGGGAAAATACTTGTGCTAAACCAGCCAAATGAGCCATACCCATGGGTCACCGTCGCTGCTTTTGCCGCCTTTCGCCGCCGGGCCCAGCCCCCCCTGACGCCAGCTCCCCTTCTTTTCCTTCCTTTCCCTTCATCACCCACCCACCCCGGCGGCTGTGAGTCAGCCTATATAAAGGCCCAACCTCCCACTTTCCTGACTCTGTTAGAATTTTTGATTCTGGTCTTGGCACCGCCCGGAAAGCCATACACACTCTTCCCGCCCGATATCCTCCCCCCTTCCTATACCCCCTATCCTCTCCACTCGTACAGTTCACAGAGCCGCTAAAATTTTAGCTGTCTCTACTGCTTTTCGCGCTGGTCTAAGATTCCCGGGAAGAAGTTCTTAGGAAGCCAAGAATTGGAAAAAGGTTGAAGAAGTTATATTTTTTTATACCTCTCCCTCTTTCCTCTTTCTTATCTTACTACTCCACTGTTTCAGATTCAGTTACTGAAACAGGAAGGTTGCAACCTCAGGTTCGCATCTTCGTCGCTCTCTCTCTCTTTCTTCACATACACGCGCACCTTCTCTCCAAACGCAGATAGACATCACCAATTCCAAAAAAGGAAAAAAAAGTTCTTGCCTTTGATCATATCACGTGCATCGCACTGTCTTGACTCTCCCTATTCACTCCGTGCTTGTTACTTCACTTCTGCAATAACTGCAGAGGCTGCGTCGAGTTGTTCCCTGCTCCCTAGAAAACACTTGGTTGTGCTTTTCTAGTCCTCATCCTCACCGTCCTCTCTCCCATCCTCCATCTGGGCTTCGTGGTACTACTCGATCATCATTCAGTCAGGCTCTTGTTACCTTGACTTGATTTGACTTGATTGACTTGTGGGTTCTTGTTGGTTTTATCTCTGGCACTCTACCTCGGACCTCATTCCGTTTTATTCTCCTGAAACGGTTCGTCGATTGTGGGCAGTGTTGCTGTAGGGGAGACATTGATTTGTTCATCTCCCACAAAAGGGTACGTGACTCTTTCATCGCCGTTTGGGTGTTTTTTTTTTTCGCCACCCGACCGCCTTTTTCCTGTCACCTTCGCAACCATCTCACTATTCAACCACCACCTTACCACTTCCCTGGCCTTGTCTGTCTTCCTGGACTGACTGAGAATATCTGGTGCAGACTGTCATTAGAAAGCTCTCATCACTTCTTCAGCGTCGGCTGGTCTACGGCTCGAGTATCTTTACTCTCGTCCGCGATGGATTCTCTCACAACTCATCCGGCCACTGCGCAGCAGGCCCGGGCCTTCACTTCTCCTGCCTCTCTGTCATTTCCCGGTGGTGCTGGTGATCTCACGCCACCTTCCGAAAAAGACGCACATATGGCGATGGCTCAAGGTGCCAATGGAGGTTTGAACGGTCAGCAGCAGGGAGCAAATGCCTCGAATGGCAACGGGGTGGCGCCCGCAACTCCCGCTGCTACTCCTGGTGCCAACACTCCAGGGAGCGGCATTGTGCCTACGTTGCAGTGAGTATACTCTTACTGTTCTCGTTCTTCTGGTTTACCAGATTGCTGAACAAGAATTTCTTCTATCTTTAAAGAAACATTGTCGCCACGGTCAACCTTGACTGTCGCCTGGACCTGAAGACGATCGCGCTTCACGCAAGAAATGCGGAGTACAACCCAAAGGTATTACTTTCCACATCCTCCTGAGCTTGGCACGTCAGGGGACATTGTGGCTGAACTGGTCTTTTTTTCTTCTCCCATAGCGTTTCGCGGCCGTGATCATGCGTATCCGAGAGCCGAAGACGACTGCTTTGATCTTCGCCTCCGGCAAGATGGTGGTTACTGGTGCTAAGTCGGAAGATGATTCCAAGCTGGCGTCCAGAAAATACGCCCGTATAATTCAGAAGCTCGGCTTCAACGCCAAGTTCACGGACTTCAAAATCCAGAACATCGTCGGTTCCTGCGACATCAAGTTCCCGATCCGCCTGGAGGGCTTGGCTAGTCGCCACCACAACTTCAGTTCTTACGAACCCGAATTGTTCCCTGGTCTCATCTATCGCATGATGAAGCCCAAGATCGTGCTCCTGATCTTCGTCAGTGGCAAGATTGTCCTCACCGGTGCTAAAGTCCGTGAGGAGATCTATCAGGCTTTCGAGCTGATCTATCCTGTGCTTTCGGGTATGCACTACTACATTCTAGTCTCTGACGACGAGGTGACACATTCACTAACATGTGTAAAAAGATTTCCGTAAAGTTTAAGAACGGCCGTTCGGCTCGAATCAGGAAGATCACGCCGTCGCCATTCTTCCACCTTTCATCGACATGTATTAACAAAACCTTTATTTATCCGTCGACTCGCTGTGCTCGCTTCCGGCACATCCCCGTCGATCGATCAGTTGTGGCTTCTCTTGTTTCTTTGCGCACGTTACGATTCCTCATGCTAGCATTTGTAGGGCGTTCTAGCGACTCGGTTTTTGCTACCTGGTTGTCTCTTTTATCAAACACAAATCGTCTCACCATCTTAGATAGTCGCACACCGCAGATCAAGGGGGCGGTACTGTGCGCTGGTCGAATGGTTGCCTCCTTCTAATTACTGGTTTTTCTGTTCTTCGCCTTCGGGCAGCGTTTCATTCATTGGGCCTTCCCGATGACGTGATGCTTTCAACCTCTGATTGCTTTTTGCTCAATCGGATGGTTCTTCACCAACACCGCAGCACCAAAAAGATGGAAAAAAATTCTTTATTGTTTTAGATCTTTACGGAATGTTATGAAAGCGGATGATTATACCGGGAGATTGGGGACTTCGGGGCTATGCCTTAAGTTTATGGCTGGCATAATCACGGACTCCTGGTTGCTATACCAAAAAAAAGGATTAAAAAAACTTCAAAAAAAGTACTTCTCTTGTCCAAAGTAATCTGTATTTCGTAGTTTCGTAATTTGTGAACGGTCTCGGCGTAATCACATGTTGGGTTGCAGCAGTTGCCTGCTTTGCGGGGAAGCCGTTGGCCGCCTCGTTCGGCATGGTCCAACCCGAGCGTCATTTCCAGAGACCAGCCTCGCCGCTGTCTATGGCATAGTATCAATCAGTATACTGGCTCTCTTTCCACGTTGGATATATGTTACTACAGATGGTGTGCATAGCGAGCTAGCCATCCGGAATTCGAAGTGTGTTTTTATTCGATCTCCCAAGTTATCTATCCCTCGCAGTGCTGAAGCTTGTTCCTGTCGGTTATCTCGGGGCAAAAATGATGCGAGTCCTTATATGAACGGAGAATTCTCTCCCTGTTTGGACTGATGATCAACAATTTACAGGCCAGTGTTATTCGCTTCCTTCTTTCACGAGCAACCTCGAGATGGCCAAAATTGTCGCCCTCGCATTCGAGCACTCCCCGTCCGGCTTCGGGATCCAACATGACGCGCCCCGTCTCTCGTGGAAGGCTACTTATTCGAACAAGAGTATTCGCAACTGGGTCCAAACAGCATACGAGATTGCCTTGAAAGCACCGGAATGCCATCCGGAGGACGAAGGAAGGATCTATCGAGTGGACAGCCCCGAGTCGACGTGGGTGCCATGGCCCGGCCCTCCGCTGCGCTCACGCGAACGTAAGCTGATTCGCGTGCGCGCTCACGGCACCTGGACGGAAACGACAGAAGATCATGGCCCAGAAGCCAAAGAGCATGCTGGTTTCACTGCGTGGTCGACATGGAGCCGGGTGGAGTGTGCTTTGCTCAGCCAGCAGGACTGGGCCGCCGTCCCGATGGTTCACCCGGCGATCGGAGGCGAGAAGACTCTCAGATCGGTCGTGTTCCGTAAGACCTTCGAGCTCCCTGCCGATTTTGGGGCCGTGGAGCAAGCGAGACTTTACGTGACAGCGCTGGGGATGTATCGGGTCTATCTGAATGGGAAGCGGGTGGGGGACGACGAGTTGGCACCGGGCTGGACGAGCTACCACCATCGTATGGCGTACCGGGCTCATGATGTCTCTGCCGGGATCGCGGCTCGCAATGTGCTGGGAGTGGAGGTGGCCGAGGGGTGGTATGCAGGCCGCCTGGGGTTCAACGGTGGCAGGCGGTGCCTCTACGGCGACCAGATCGGTGCGCCTCGTTCAATTGGAGATCGTTGGCGCCCGGAAGGATCACTTGTTGCAGGTCGTGTCGGACAGCAGTTGGAAATGCAACCTCAGCCCCCTCGTGCATAGTGAGATCTATGACGGCGAGCTGTACGACATGCGCGAGGAGCTGGGGGACTGGCACGGCGACCCCGACTACCAGGAGACGACGACGACGGTGGTCGTGGCGGCGGCGGCTTGGAAGCCGGTCGTGACGCTGGCTTTGCCGGAGGCATCCTTGGTCGTCCCTCGAGCGCCCGCTGTCCGGGTTACACAACAGATTACAGCGCGGCGCTTGTTTACCACCCCATCTGGGCGTTTGATTCTCGATTTCGGTCAGAATCTGGTGGGTAAACTTCATGTGCGGGAGTTGCAACTGCCCGCCAATGCTGAGGTGAGCTTCACGCACGCAGAGGTGTTGGAGAATGGGGAGTTGGGTATACGACCGCTGCGTCAAGCCAAATGCACCGACGTGATCATTTCCTCCGGAGCGATCCTCAGGGATTGGTCCCCGATCTTTACCTTTCATGGATTTCGCTTTGTGCAGGTAGATGGATGGGACCCCCGGTCCTCATCGCTCTCTTGGCTGGAAAATATCACCGCATTAGTCTTGCACACAGACTTTGCTCCGACGGGGGATTTTGAGTGCTCGAATGATGCGATCAACCAGCTGCATCGCAACGCTCGGTGGAGCATGCGAGGCAACTTTGTGTCCATCCCAACTGACTGCCCCCAGCGGGACGAGCGGCTGGGCTGGACCGGTGATATCCAGGTTTTCAGCCCGTCGGCAACCTTCTTGTATAACTGCGAAGGGATGCTGGCCGACTGGATGGAGGACGTAGCTGCAGAGCAGCATGACGATGGAGGAGTGCCTCCACTAGTCGTGCCGAATGTGCTTCAGCACGTCTGGCCCCCGATGCCGCAGGCTGTCTGGGACGATGTGGTGATCATTCTGCCGTGGAATCTATACCAAGCCTCGGGTGATGTGGAAATCCTCCGGCGACAGTATCCCAGTATGAAGGCATGGCTGGACCAGGGGGTTCGTCGGGGCGACGATGGGCTGTGGGACCCGGACCACTGGCAGCTCGGAGACTGGCTGGATCCTCAGGCTCCATCAGACGAGCCGGGAGATGGGCGGACTAGCGGCGTGCTCGTGGCAGATGCCTACTTGGTGCGCGTCACCAGAACCCTGGCACAGATCAGTCGGCTTCTCGGGCAAGAAGCCGACTTTATCCACTACCAGCAAGCATCCGACCGACACCTCCAAGCCTTCCATGCCAAGTATGTGACTCCGAGCGGGTTAGTCGCCGGCGACTCCCAAACAGCGTATGCTCTGGTCATCGTCTTTGGCTTGGTAGATTCCGAAACCCAACGTACAACCATCAGCCGCCAGCTGTCGCGCCTGGTGCGTATGGCCAAATTCCGCGTGGCCACAGGGTTTGCCGGCACCCCGATCATCCTCCAGGCCCTCAGTGACAGCAAAAATCTGAGCCTGGCTTACCGGATGCTGCTCGAGGATAAGTGTCCATCGTGGCTTTATCCTATCATGCAGGGGGCCACGACCATCTGGGAACGATGGGATAGCCTGTTGCCGGATGGGTCGATCAACCCCGGCGAGATGACCAGCTTTAATCACTATGCGCTCGGGTCTGTTGTTCAATGGCTGCATGAGACCGTCGGGGGCTTGGTCCCGCGCGAGCCCGGGTGGAAGACTGTCCTTGTGTCTCCTCAACCGGGTGGGCCTTTAACCCACGCGGCGGTTTCGCATGACTGCCCGTATGGGCGCTGGTTCTGTCGATGGGAGTTGAGCCCTTCGCAGGATGATGATCGCGTGAAGGTGCTCGCGGTCGAGCTCGACGTGCCCCTGAATGCAACGGCCATCGTTCGACTGGGCTCTGAGACGGGGGAACAAAAGGTCGGGTCCGGGCATTATCGGTTCCAGGTCCCTTTCGTCCCTCAGCCCTATCCGCCTGAGGCTATTGCTCCATTTATCACTAACCCTGGCCAGGGTCTCTGACCTCCATCGGCCCATTGTCTGTCGTGAGTAGAGATCTGAAACGAAACTAGCAGAATGTTTAAGGCAAACACTCCTAGCGAATCCTATGCACAGATTCCCCGCAAAATAATAAGGTCTGCCTACTTGTCGCATGCTGGATACGTCCTCGGCGTCTACATCACTAAGGAGAATCTATTCTAATATAGGATCTCTAAATCGATCTATTGAAACAAGACAACTCCGCTCAGAAGAACCACTATAGACACATATAGTACATGCAAATCTACAACCATAACCATCTACACCGTAAGCGTGCCACTCCCAAAACAGCAGCACAAGATCATCGAGCCACACTTTTACTCGACTGCTTTTCTTGCCGGCCTCAGAACATATTTCCATGTCGTGCCAAAATGCCAGCGTTTCTCCTCGACGACCTCCAAGCCACTCTCCCTCACGATCTCGCCGATATCGCGATTCCACCAACACCCATGCCGATCCGCATGGGCAGGGGCCAGATTATCGAGCACGCGATTCAACCACGCATAATGCGAGCGACCGTGCTCCAACAACAAAATTTCGCCCTTCTGCGGATCCACCAGCGTCCCCAAATGCCTCAGCGTGCCCACGGGATCCGGCAACGAGCACAACCCCATCGTCTGCACCACCGTATCAAAGTATTGTTTGGGTTGGCCCGGGACGGCGGCCCCGGTAATCTCCCGACTAGGGCCGCCCCCGACGGCCGCCGCATCCTCCACCCGAAACTCCACCCTTTTGCGGAGGGCATCATCCCCAGGGTAGATTTCCTCGAACTTCCGGCGCGCCATCTCCACCATCTGCGGACTCAGATCCACAAACGTGACGGACCGGCAGCCGCGCAGGCCCACCGCGCCCGTCCGCTCGTCGACGATCCCGCGCCGCACAGGCCCAAAATCGTAGTACTCGATGTTCCGCCCCGTGCCGCAGCTGACCTCGAGGACGTCGCCGCGCGCGCGGCGGCAGAGGTCGCGGCGCTTGGCGCCCAGCCGCATCAGCTTCTCGGACATCTCGACGTCGGCGTCGAAGGTGCGCGCCGTCGTGTTGTAGCGGTCCGTGACGTTGGCGGTGGCGGGGACCGTGGCGGACAAGTTCTGCGAGTAAGTCACTTCGCGGCGGTACGAGGCGTACAGGTACCCGATGTAGGCGCTCAGGCCGAGCGCGCTGACGCCTAGCACGGTCATCACGCGCGGGCTCATGCGTGTCGTCGTCGAGGGCGGGTGGTGGTGGAAGTCTGTCAGCGTGGGGTGCGCGCGTTTGGAGAGTGCCGGGGTGTATTCTGGGTAGCTTTTGGGGCTGGTGGGTTAGTTTTGGGGGTCCTTTCTGGGAGTGGAGGACGTGGGAGTGGGCTTGTTTACACTGGGGCTGCAGCTTTCAGCTTGTTCTTCTTCGCGCCGGTACGGGGTGCAGCGTTGGCGGGCTTTGCTGCTGCTGCTGCTGCTCCCTTGGCGGATTTGAGCGTCGCTCGGCCTACCCGTGAGGCGCTCATGGTTGTGAGGGTATCTTGTTATGTGATGAGAATGTAAGGCCCAAGGAAAGGGGGAATGGTGTCGTGGTTCACGCCATGAGGGGGGTCGCCGACCGGGGTGGAAGGTCAGGTCCGGAGAGGTTGCGGATTGCGGCGCGGCTGTGGTGGTGGTTGTGTTCGGGGAGAAATTGAGGGAGCGGCAGCCAAGAGACTAGAGACCGCCGCCAGTTGTTGGTTGGTCTTTGCCGAATGTCAACCCGTCTACTTTGTAGTGCGGCGGCTTAGATATCACCATCGCTCAACTTTACATGAACAGTATCAGGACTGGGGAAGAGATCTGCTCAATTCGGTTTTCTTGCTTTAGATCGGTTGCGTCTTTCTTTATCTCTTTCTCTTTATGTCTTTTCTTTTTCTCTTTCTTTCCTGCCCGTTGCTGAAACTGCTCGAACCATTCGTCGCCCTTGCTTGGCATATTCGCGTCAAAGACCAGTTCTTGTGCTTTGTCTACAATGGCTGTCTTTCAGTCTGTCTCCGCTGATGGAATGAGGATCATGTCAGTTCTGTCCAGAGCAGCGCAGGGAATCTCTTTGAAAAGACCAACATCTCGATTCCTCAGGAGAGAGACTAAGGAAATACGGATACACGTGGCTAAGACATCACAGATATACCGGCTCTCTACCCGTGCGAAAGGGGAAACGTAACAGCATGCCAAAGTGTACATTGGCCCGTCGGATCTTCCCTGACGCATATGTCTTCATTGTGCTACCTGACAGACAAATGATCAAGAGCTGCTTTCGCCACGTGGTCCATCGGTCGATACTTCGCCTTATCACGGCTCCATCATCGCTGTTATACCTCAGTGACGGAGTTCTGGTGAACGGGATAAAGACAGCTGATGTCCCTATTTCTGACCCTTGACCTCCCGTTAGTTGAGATAGCCAGACAGCCGTCCCCTACAGTCTTGATTTATCAGCGGCCAGGATGACTCCGCGGTTCGCGGGTTCAGGTCCCTCATCCGAGTGGTCTGGCCCTGACTCCAGCAGAAATGCATCTGATTCGCGCTGGAACAGAGTTCGGGATAAGGCTGGATCAAGCCCCTGATCGAGAAAGCTCGCCATTCTGAATCGGGGTTCGAATTAGGTCATAATGGGCAACTTGCTCAGGCACGGTGGACAACGCAAATTCTAGCGCGGCCGGCTATAGATCAAAAACACTGCATTTTCATATCCGTGGACCATCGGAACCATGATAAGCAACGCCTTCTGTGGATCAATCCTCCATATTGGCCAATGGGCTAATCGGAAAGCTCGTCGGTGGAACTGGGCGGCTTTACGGATATCGGCTTTACGGATCTGCGGATATGTGCACTGGCAGTAATTGCGTATCGTATATGCCACGCAGGAATCCAAATCATAATAAAAGAGCCTGAGCTTCCTCGAGCTGTCCGAAAGTAGCTTCAACTGCATTTCTGGATCTGAGTGAGTGTTTCTTTAGACTGAAGCTTCATGGACCGTGATTCTTAGGTATGAGCTTTCCAGCCAGCACTATGGCGGTTGTACTGACCGGGACACCCAAGCACGCATAGCTACGATCTGATCGGACCTATCAGCAAACATGGACACATCATCATCCTCAGCAACGGTCGACATGGAGTCCGGGGCCTCCGATATCCGGAAGCGCTTGACGCTCACATTCCGCAATGTCAGCGTGAACGTTACCGCGCCTGATGCGGCCCTGGGAGAAACACTATTGTCGGTGGCCGACCCGCGACAAATCACCAGCTGGTTCCAGAAGAGCCGGCGGCCCAAGCGGACGATCTTGAAGGAGATCACTGGCCAAGTTCGACCGGGGGAGATGCTCTTCGTTCTCGGTCGTCCCGGTTCCGGCTGTACTTCTTTTCTGCGAGTGTTGTCGAACGATCGCGGTGCCTTCGACGAGGTCGTGGGCGAGACCCGTTACGGAAGTATGGACCACAAGCAGGCAAAGAAGTATCGCCAACAGATCATGTTCAACAACGAGGACGATGTGCACTTCCCCACGCTAACGGTCAATCGAACGATGAAATTTGCTCTGCGGAATAAAGTACCTCGGGAACGGCCTGAACATCTGCAGGACAGGAATGCGTATGTGCAAGAGAAGCGAGATGACATCCTGGGCTCCTTGGGGATTCCGCACACGAAGAAGACTCTGGTCGGAAATGAGTTCATTCGAGGTGTCTCCGGTGGCGAACGGAAACGTGTGTCATTGGCGGAGATGATGGCTGGTCAGGTATGGTTATGAATGCATCGCAGCTTCGTGGATCTATTGCTAAGGATTGTATCTACAGAGCCCTGTTCAGTTCTGGGATAACCCAACTCGAGGCTTGGATTCGAAGACGGCAGTGGAATTTGCTCGCATGCTCCGACGCGAGGCAGACCAGAACGAGAAAACGATCGTGGCTACCATGTACCAGGCGGGCAACGGCATCTACGACCAGTTCGATAAGGTTTTGGTGTTAGCAGATGGTATGGTGACCTACTACGGTCCGCGGGCGATGGCCAGAGCTTACTTTGAGGACATGGGCTTCGTCTGTCCCCGGGGTGCCAATATCGCCGATTTTCTTACCTCCGTCACCGTCACCACGGAGCGTATTGTGGCTCCGGGAATGGAAGGGAAGGTGCCCAATACTGCAGCTGAATTTGAGGCCTACTACCGCCAGAGTTCGATCTGCTCTCAGATGCTCGAGGACATCCAGCCACCAGAGAAGCTGGTTGACGAAGAGATCAACTTGGCCAATGCAGTGCTGATGGAGAAGAGAAAGCAGCATATCCCTCGGCCCCAGAGCGTTTACACGGCGGGTCTCTGGCACCAAGTCGCCAGCTGCACAGTTCGGTGAGTAAAGTCGAACGATTGAACTTTGATTGGGCACTGACATTGGCCCAGTCAATTCCAAATCTTGGCCGGTGATAGACTATCTGCCATCATCAAGGTGGTATCTGCTATTCTCCAAGCTCTTGTTTGTGGTAGTTTGTTCTACAACCTCAAGCTTGACAGCTCTTCCATCTTTCTGAGACCAGGTGCTCTCTTCTTTGCAGTTCTCTATTTCCTTCTGGAAACCATGTCGGAAACAACCGCGTCTTTCATGGGTCGGCCGATTCTCTCGCGCCAAAAGAGATTTGGCTTTTACAGGCCAACAGCCTTCGCGATTGCCAACGCCATTACCGATTTTCCTATTGTGTTGGTGCAGGTCTCCTGCTTTTCATTGATTCTGTACTTCATGGCTGGATTGCAGATGGATGCTGGCCGCTTCTTTACTTACTGGATCATCGTAGTTATGCAAACTCTGTGCTTCATGCAGATGTTCCGAGCGATCGGAGCTCTCTGTAAGAAGTTTGGCAACGCGTCGAAGATGACTGGGTTTGTCTCGACAGTATTTTTCGTCTACGGAGGTAATGCAGTGGAAGCTCGCGTCCAATGAACCAAGCTAACTAAGACGCAGGCTATCTCATTCCCTTCGAGCAGATGCACGTCTGGTTCCGCTGGATCTTCTACCTCAATCCCGGTGCCTATGCGTTCGAAGCCCTGATGGCCAACGAGTTTGTCGGACTCGAGTTGGACTGTGTAGCGCCTGACTATATCCCTTACGGATCTGGTTACCCGGCCGGTGCCTCGCCTAATCGTGGTTGCACGGTCAAAGGAAGCACAGACGGTGTGATTAATGGCGCAGCTTACATTCGGGAGCAATACAGCTATTCCTTCCACCACATTTGGCGCAGCTTCGGTATCATTGTTGGTTTCTGGGCATTCTTCATCTTTCTCACTGCGCTGGGCCTCGAAATGAACAACAACCAATCTGGCTCCTCTGTGCTTCTCTACAAACGAGGTGCCAAGTCCAAGGTAGCCGATGAAGAGGGATCCAGTGCTACCAAGTCAGAGGGCAATGCTCTTGCGCAAACGGGTAAGCAGTCCACTTTCACGTGGAATCATCTCGACTACTATGTTCCCTTCCACGGAGAGAAGAAGCAACTCTTGCACCAGGTGTTCGGGTATGTCAAGCCTGGTAACTTGGTTGCGCTGATGGGAAGTTCGGGTGCTGGTAAAACCACGTAAGCTTGATGATTACCCATTTTTACATCTACCTGGCTAATATGATCTCAGATTGCTTGATGTGCTTGCTCAGCGGAAGGACAGCGGTGAGATCGTCGGATCTATTCTCATTGACGGACGACCTCAAGGTATCAGCTTTCAGCGGACTACTGGATACTGTGAACAGATGGATGTCCACGAGGGCACGGCTACTGTGAGAGAGGCTTTAGTTTTCTCAGCTCTGTTGCGTCAACCTGCCAGCGTGCCACGCGAAGAGAAAATTGCCTATGTTGACCACATCATTGACTTGCTTGAGCTCAGTGATATTAAGGATGCTTTGATCGGTGTCCCGGGCGCGGGCCTCAGCATTGAGCAGCGGAAGAGAGTGACCCTAGGCGTGGAGCTTGTGGCCAAACCGACCTTGCTATTTCTGGATGAGCCGACTTCCGGCCTGGATGGGCAATCGGCCTACAACATTATCCGATTCTTGAGAAAGCTCGTTGATGGTGGCCAAGCTGTATTGTGTACGATTCATCAGCCATCCGCTGTTCTGTTTGACGCTTTCGACTCGCTCGTCCTGCTTGCGAAGGGAGGCAAGATGACCTATTTCGGAGAGACTGGCGAGGACTCACAGAAGGTTCTTGAATACTTTGCGAAGAACGGCGCCCCTTGCCCACCTGACGTGAACCCTGCTGAGCACATCGTGGAAGTGATTCAAGGCAACACTGAAAAGCCGATTGATTGGGTTGATGTCTGGAGCCAGTCCGAAGAACGTGAGCTTGTACTCCGGGATCTTGAAGCACTCAACAAGGAGGCCGAAGCGAACTCAACCGGAGAGGAGGACCACCATGACTTCGCCACCCCCATCTGGTTCCAGTTCAAGATGGTGCTGGAACGCTTGATGACTCAGTTGTGGCGCTCACCGGTATGTATCGGTGTAAAGTCAGATAGATTGGTGCTAACGATCGCAGGATTACATGTGGAACAAGATCATTCTTCACGTGTTCGCTGCCTTGTTCAGTGGCTTCACTTTTTGGAAAATGGGAGACGGCACTTTCGCACTTCAACTGCGCCTGTTTGCTATTTTCAACTTCATCTTCGTTGCCCCGGGCTGTATCAATCAGATGCAGCCGTTCTTCCTGCACAACCGCGATATCTTTGAGACTCGAGAGAAGAAGGTACGTTACAAGAGCCTCTCTTGCAGCCGACTCCGCTGATTTAGCGAATAGTCCAAAACCTACCATTGGATGGCCTTCATTGGAGCTCAAGCCGTCTCCGAGATCCCGTACTTGATCATCTGCGCCACACTTTACTTCGCATGCTGGTACTTCACTGCTGGATTCCCCGTCTCGGCTTACATCTCGGGCCATGTCTACCTTCAGATGATCTGTATGCTTCACCTCTCGCATTTCCCCTTCGAGTCATCCTCAAGCTTAGGCTAACAAACAAACCCAGTCTATGAGTTCCTCTACACATCGATTGGCCAGGCCATCGCCGCCTACGCGCCCAACGAGTACTTCGCCGCCATCATGAACCCTATCCTCATCGGCGCCGGCATGATCAGTTTCTGTGGTGTCGTCGTGCCCTACGACCAGATCACGCCCTTCTGGCGCTACTGGATCTACTACCTGGACCCCTTCACCTACCTCGTCGGTGGTCTCCTGGGCGAAGTGCTCTGGGACGTGAAAGTCCAATGCAAGGCGTCCGAATTCGTCCAGTTCAGCGCCCCGTCCGGCCAGACCTGCGGTCAGTACATGGCGGACTTCATCGCGAACAACACGGGCTACCTGCTGGACGCGAGCGCGACGGGCTCGTGCTCCTTCTGCCAGTATTCGACCGGAGCGGACTACGCCAAGTCGTTCAACTTGAAGGAGAAGTACTATTCCTGGAGAGATGTGAGTTTCTGTCTGTCCCTGGCTCGAAGATGAATGAATGACTGACCTTGTTTCTTGTAGACTGGGATAACGGCGCTGTTCTGCATCACATCGTACGGATTGGTGTTTCTGATGATGAAGTTGAGGAGCAAGAAGACGAAGAGTGCGCGGTCGGAGTGATTCTCTTTTGACATTGTGACGATATGGAGGAGAGAGACTGCAGGCGTTGTTGTGGCATCGCTCTTGGGATTTGGAATGTTTCGTTGAATATACTAATGGCTGGTGGTGGAGTAAGGAGGTGGAGAGTGCCAGGTCGGAGTGAGACATTCAAGGATGTGGTGAATCTTGTTCTGCGTTGGAAATGTTTTATTGGACATAACTGTGGGTGATTGAGGTGAAGACCAATTATACATAGACTAGATATAGATTTATTTTTTGAGAAGCTCAATAAAGCTCGTTGGATCTGTTTGAGCTCTGTTTGTCAGTCGGAGAAACAGTGACCATTCAACATGCTAGGATATGCATTAACTGTTGAGCATAGGGACTTCTAAGAGACTGCGTCAGGGAGTTATGATTCAGAGGAATTTCCCTATCATTTGTGATAGACGAGACAGGGCGACAGGCTAGATTGCGCTAGGCAGCAGATGTTGATGCCCGACATTTCAGGCTCCTTACCGGGCGGAAGGAGAATGAATGAACAACAGCCTTCCTCAGCCCTTCTTCCATCTTTCATCTGAAGATGTTTCTCAACCTCTTTCTTTCGTCGATGTATGCGCGATTTCTTCACATTCGGCATCTAGGAAACACAACTCCGAGCGCCACATAGAACACAATGGACCAAATACACAATATGGAATCACTCGGCGTACCATTGCGGGGACCACGTGGTTTGCCTGGCTAAACGGGGTTGCATACGGCAATTACACTGCAGCACCTGGGGATGTCACAGCCCATGCAAGCCTCTTCAGGCCGGTACTTCATCCTGAGTAAGGAGCGAGCAAACTGCAGAAAACCGAGAAACTGGGGAAAATCAGCCCATGCCTCGGCTATTCTCGCCCCATACGTTACCAACCTGGGGACGGTTCTTCCCCATACGGCCAAGCTGACACCCACGTGAGTGCAATTAGCCGGCGGCGGACTGCCGTTCCTGTCAAGGAACTAATCCCTTCATTTCGGGCTCACTTCGCCTTTGCTCTTGGTATACCACGCGGAAGTGGCTAATTGTGAAGAGCGCCTACGAGATTGCGGTCGGGATGCGGTCCGGAAAGCCGTCGTGCTCTTCTGAGCTCGAGGAAACAGCTTCACGATCTATCTTGTCTATAGAATTGTATAGACAGCAGAGCTACATGAGCGATGAAGAAGATATAAAAGGCCATGCCATTCCCACGGTTTCTGTCGCCATCATCAGCTTCGATCATCATCTTCCTTCAGCTTCAAGCTTCAATCGTCCCTCAATCCGTTGGCAACCATGGTTGACTCTTTCTCCATCTACAAGACGGCTCTCCTGCTGTCCATGCTGGCCACCAGCAATGCGCAGCAGGTCGGCACTTACACCGCTGAAACGCACCCCAGCTTGACCTGGCAAACCTGCAGCGGCAGTGGTAGCTGCACTACCACCAGCGGCAGCGTGGTCATTGACGCCAATTGGCGCTGGGTGCACGAGGTTGGTGGTTACACCAACTGCTATAGCGGCAACACTTGGGACAGTTCGATCTGCTCCACCGATACCACCTGCGCGTCCGAATGTGCCCTCGAGGGTGCCACTTACGAGAGCACCTATGGTGTGACCACCAGCGGCTCGTCGCTCCGCCTCAACTTCGTCACTACGTCGTCGCAGAAGAACATCGGCTCGCGTCTGTATCTTCTGGCTGACGACAGCACCTACGAGACTTTCAAGCTTCTCAATCGGGAATTCACTTTCGATGTCGACGTCTCGAACCTTCCCTGCGGACTGAACGGCGCCCTCTACTTCGTCTCTATGGACGCTGACGGCGGCGTTTCCCGCTTCCCGACGAACAAGGCTGGCGCCAAGTATGGAACCGGATATTGCGACTCCCAATGTCCTCGGGATCTCAAGTTCATCGATGGTGAAGCCAACATTGAGGGCTGGGAGCCATCTTCGACCGATGTTAATGCGGGTACTGGTAACCATGGCTCCTGCTGCCCTGAGATGGATATCTGGGAGGCGAACAGCGTCTCCAGTGCCTTCACCGCCCACCCTTGCGACTCCGTCCAGCAAACCATGTGTACGGGCGATACCTGCGGTGGCACTTACAGTGACACTACCGACCGTTACTCCGGTACTTGCGATCCTGATGGATGCGATTTCAACCCCTACCGCCTGGGCAACACCGACTTCTATGGTCTCGGAAAGACCGTCGACACCAGCAAGCCCTTCACGGTCGTGACGCAGTTCATCACCAACGATGGTACTGACACTGGTACCCTGACTGAGATCCGTCGTCTCTACGTGCAGAACGGTGTCGTGATTGGCAACGGTCCCTCCACCTACACTGCCGCGAGCGGCAACTCGATCACCGAGAGCTTCTGCAAGGCCGAGAAGACCTTGTTCGGTGACACCAACGTCTTCGACACCCACGGCGGACTGTCTGCCATGGGTGACGCCCTCGGCGACGGCATGGTCCTGGTGCTCAGTCTGTGGGATGACCACGCCGCTGACATGCTCTGGCTCGACAGCGACTACCCCACCACCAGCTCGGCTACCAGCCCTGGTGTCGCCCGCGGTTCCTGCCCCACCACCACCGGAAATGCCACCTACGTTGAGGCCAACTACCCGAACTCGTATGTCACCTACTCCAACATCAAGTTCGGTACCCTCAACTCGACCTACTCCGGTTCGACCTCGGGCGGCTCCAGCTCCAGCAGCACCACCTTGACTACCAAGGCCTCGACCAGCACCACTAGCTCCAAGACCAGCACCACCACCACTAGCTCCAAGACCACTACCACCACTTCCAAGACGTCCACCACCTCGAGCTCGTCCACCAATGTTGCCCAGCTGTACGGACAGTGCGGTGGACAGGGATGGACTGGCCCCACCACCTGCGCCAGCGGCACTTGCACCAAGCAGAATGACTACTACTCGCAGTGCCTGTAGGGGGTGAGCTAGCCATTGAGGTGATCTCGATGAAAGAGGGAGAATAACAAGGAATGATGAGGTAGGAGAAAGTATGATGGCAATTTGTTACTTCCGGCAGGATCTCAAGCTTAGGACTAGTCTAGCAAATGAAAGGCTGTTTTTTTACCACTCAAAATGCATGAGATGGACAGTAGTCTAACAGTAACCAGTAAGGTAGTGAGCCTGTAGCCCGAAATGTCAGGAACAAAGTTATGCAGGATTGCAGGCTTGCAGAAGTGCAAAAGTGCAGAAGTGCAGAAGAGCCGCCGAAGAAACTCAACCCCGCACGGTCATGTGCTCCTCACCTGATCCCCCCCACTAATTGCGCTGATCGATCGATCTCTCCTCTCTCCCTTCTCCTGCTATTCAACCAAGTCTTGTTATTTGTCGCTTCGACTTCAAGTTATCTGGTATAGTCCATACAACGGCTTGATAATACGATTCCATGTCTTCCTTCTCTATTTCACCTGTCCCAGATATTAACTCGGATGGCCCAATCACCTTTGTGAAAATGATCTGAAATCGTCAAGACTGTGTGTCCATGTCCTATTCTTGAATGAACCCAAAGGGCGCTTGAGGGTCTCATACATCTGGTGCACTATACCAGTCACGAAGTCCTAGTCACCCAATTTCCGCAAGGATATTACCCAAGCGCCACGATCTCCTCAAACAATTGAATAGTGCCGACAATTCCTCAGGGGCACCTGACCACAAACCACGCCACCGACGTTTCGGCAGTGAATTCAACCATGCTACCCAACGCCAAGCGCGTGCATTAGCGCCGGTGGGCTTCCTGCCGGGAAAAGGAACAAAGGCCCCGGAGCATGCAGCGCCAAGTAACGTGGGTGGACGGGATAATCTCCGCATCACGAACTTTGTTTGTTGGGCCTGCTTTTGCAATGCCGGGGTTGGCACGGACGAGGTGGCCTCCCTCTCACGCCCTATATCGCTCGGGATTAGCGAGGTCAGACGAAATGCCAGTCCTTAGTCCTGGTCTGCCCCCCCCCTCGCACCATTCCGGATCGGCAAAGGCATGCCTAATCCGTCACTGTTCTGCAGTGGGGCTCAGGCACCACTGGGACATGATGGTCTGTGCGGGACAGGAAATTGCCGTGACGGATTTGTCTCCGCGTTTTCTTCGGAGCTTGGGGTCTGGGGTTCTGGGGTCGCTGTTACTGCTCCTCCTTGCTGTGTGTGTATGTGTGTGCCATCGACAGCGGCTGACGGCCCGAGAGGCCGTCTTCTTGAGCAGCGAGGTCGAAGTCGCTCGTCCTTGTCGTTCTCCGTTAGGGGTTGTTTGGGCAATTTGGCCCCCGTCTTCGGGGTATAAGTTGAGGTGGTCAAGCTCGATGGGAAAGGAGGAAGGAATGTAAAATCCAGCATCAGCATCGCCGCTTCGGACATCATGAAGCTCGCCGTATTGACACTGCTTCTCTCCCAAGTGTGGGCGGCCCCTCAGGCCAAACGCTCCTCCAATTTTCTCTGTATGGGCCGCTGTTCATCCTTCAGCTTCCATGTCTCAGAGACCTATACTGACTGCAGATAGGGCTTGGAAGCAATGAGTCCGGCGCAGAGTTTGGCCAGGCCAACATTCCCGGTGTTTTGGGGACGGACTACATCTGGCCTGACGCGAGTAAGATCCAGGTCTTGGTGAATGCGGGCATGAATATCTTCCGCGTCCCGTTCATGATGGAGCGTCTGATTCCGACTTCATTGACCGGGGCGGCCGATGCCACCTACCTGGCGGATCTCGAGGCCGTATGTTCTAGCATTCTGGTTAAATTTCTCTACATCATACTGACTTCTGTGATCAGACTATCAATTCAATCACCAGCCTCGGAGCCTATGCGGTCGTTGACCCCCATAACTTTGGACGATAGTAAACAAGCCTTTTCTGACTCTCTCAGGGTTCTAACTAATACATGCTTGTTAGCTATGGAAACATCATTACGTCTACGTCCGATTTTGCCGCATTCTGGACCACTGTTGCTAAGGTGTTCGCGTCAAACGACCATGTCATCTTCGATACCAGTACGTCTCCTTTCTCTCTCTGCACGTTACCGGACTAACAAGTCTCGCGCAGATAACGAGTATCATGACGAAGACCAAACCCTTGTCTTCGACCTCAACCAGGCAGCGATTAATGCCATCCGTGCTGCTGGCGCGACCAGTCAGTACATCTTTGTGGAGGGTAACTCCTACAGCGGGGCATGGACCTGGACGACCTACAACACCAACCTCGTCAACCTGACCGACCCCTCAGACAAGATCATCTACGAGATGCACCAGTACCTCGACAGCGATGGGTCCGGCACGAGCGCGGACTGCGTGAGCACCACGATCGGCGCCGAGCGCGTCGCCGCCGCCACCACCTGGCTGCGCCAGAACGGCAAGCGCGCGGTCCTGGGCGAGTTCGCCGGCGGCGCCAACAGCCAGTGTTTGACAGCCGTGAAAGGGATGCTGGACGCGCTGAGCGCCGCCAGTGACGTGTGGCTGGGTGCGCTGTGGTGGTCGGCCGGACCCTGGTGGGGCACCTATATCTTCAACATGGAGCCGACGACGGGCACCGCCTACACCTACTATCTGTCCCTGCTGCAGAGCTATGTGCCCGGTGGCTCGTCGGGAACGACGACGACGACGACGACCGCTGTTGCAACCACCACCACTACCACCACCAAGGCCTCCACGACGAGCACTGCCACTAGCACCAAGACCACCACCACTAGCACGAAGACGACTACCACCGCTACTTCTACCTCCACTGCCGTGGCGTCTCTTTACGGCCAGTGCGGTGGCATTGGATGGACTGGGGCGACGACATGCGCCAGTGGGTCGACCTGCACTAAGCAGAATGACTATTACTCGCAGTGCTTGTAGGCGGGGAGATGGTGGGTGGGGGATATGTGTATTGGCTCTTTCGCTCAGAACATTCGATATGCCGCCTAGTATACTGACAGTATTCTGACAACTTCAGATGACTGGAAATTTGACTTCTTTTGATATTTTCAGTTCGAAGCCGTAAAGGTGGCTTGCGTGACATGAGATTTCATTCCTGTCGATATCTCCTGAAGCACAAAGCCACCCAACATCTTGCACTAGATCAGATGGAGTTATCGAGCTTGAGGAGAAGTTTCGTTTCTTTCGAAGGAAATGGTTGAATCATGATTGAGTGTGAAAAGGGTGTGGAGCAACCGGGCGACAAGAATAGCTGACCTGACTACCGCAAAAGGAAGTCTCCAAATATGATTTTCATTCTTGCAAAGGACAGAAAGACCTAGAGCAGATTTAGAAACAGTATGGCGGAAGTGTGGTGGGCAGGAAGGAGACAGCAAAAGAGAGAGACAAAAGAAAGCTCCCTCCCTGCTCATTCTACCAACCAAACTTGCGTTCAGAAAGCTTGAGGGAGTGGAAGAGACAGCAAGTCATTTGAAGATCATGAGGGCGAGTTCGATCAATGTTGCATGCGCGAAGACCACATTCCTCTCACGCGGGGCTACTGGCTGCCTGCCAATCACTCGGTGGAATTCCAGCACAACCGGTGGTCCCTGAACTGAAGGATGTGTAGTTCCCACCTTCACCACCGTAGTGGTGATGCGTTGGGGGATAAAGCCGGGTCCGCCGGCGGCGACGCGCGCCCGAGTGACTGGCTGGCGCTGCGGGAAATACTTCTCTATCGTGAGCGTCTGATCTGACCGTGAGACTTTCAAGAGCAAGACAAGCAATACCCTGCCGCCTGAATTCGCTATCCACCAGTTAACATCCTGGCGGAGTCGGGATAAGGATTCGGAGAGGCCGCTCTCAATCACAAAATGGGGCCAGTCGGTGCCGGTGGGTCTCAGCAGTCCATTCCTGTACGAAGAGTCTGCTTCCTTCCGAGAAGCTGAGCGCGCCGTGTATCGCCCGGCCCCGGTAGGTTCACGCTCCATGACGCGGACCCCCATATTCGTCAAAGCAGTGACCGTCTCCTCGGCAAAACTGCGGTGCGCCTTCTCATGGTGGAGAGTTGGAACCTTGATCAAAAGAGTCTCAATGTCGGGGAAGTAGGTGAGGCGAACAGCCCGTCGCACCTGATCACGACTTTCTTCCAACGAATGGAGATCCTCGGCCGACACATGCTTAAACGACAGGTACTGATTGGCGTCGCGCTGCCTTAGCCGCTCCTGAAGAGCGGCGATCTCTCGAGTTAGATCCTGTAGTCCTCTGTAGGTCTGTGGGGGATACTGGCCTGTCATGGCCAGCACGGTTGACGGCGGGACGGGGTAGGGGGTGATTCGCATGGTCTCAGCAGCGGATGAGCGTGATGATGACAACTCTGTCAACGGCGTCGACTCGTCGTTCCCCGTTGTTGTTGTCTCAGGCGGTTGTAAGTTAGCAAGGTTCATCATGACGTAAATCTACCTCATACCTTCGGAACGGAATGGTAGTGATAGCGGGTTATGAGAAGATCGGTACGTTGTTGGCGGTGTATGACAGTCAAGTAGCCTGAAGATCTTGTTCGATCACAATCTCAGCCAGAGGAATAGGTAGAAAACAAAGAAAAGAGGGTAGAGGATGTTCTAGTGGAAGGCGTATGATGCACATCCTCTGTAGACTTATTCTAGGATGGCGACGAAGTAAGCAAATGAGACCGATTCTGGCCCAGTGAATGGTCCTGGACATAAAATTGCAGATATCGCTTTGCCTGGTTTCTTTCAATGTAACTATATCTATTCATTCGCAAACTGTTGTTGTCCTCAGACCATCAAAGTACGTGATCTATAACCATTCACTAAAGCAGAGTTTTTGCCCATGTGTTAGCTCTAATACTAACCGGAAAACCAATATTGTTACATACAGCCACCTCAAACAGCATTATCTGCACAGAAAATACCAATCCCCAATCTACTTCATTTCATGTGACCATGTACTCCACAGTTGCTATCCTGCCAAGAGTTTTCGATCCACCTTATCTCCCAGAGCCTTATTTATCTCGATCACAAGCCCGATACATCCCCCCTGTCTCCCAAACGGACATAAAACGCTGATTAGAAGCCTCCAGCCTCGAGTTCCTAGTGTGGGACCAAAGGAGTCCACGGACCGGGATTCCCCCTTAGTTGCACCCGAGCGAGGTTCTGTTCTGAGGCCTGCAAATTTGAGTTATATTGTTGACGTAGTATATGGACCTCAATGGGATATCTCAACCGCTTCTCTAACTTGAGATGGAAGCTATACAATATCAGGTATTTCCTACTTTGTTTGGTCGGCGTGGCTTTTCGTACGTTCGAATTCTCATAGTGATATGACACAGCCAAACAAAAGATAAGTGGATAGTTTGAGATAGTTTGAGATGGCGCAGAGTGACTGCTTCTCGGCCCTGAATTTTCATTGCATACACACACGAACAAACTCGGTATGTGAATACGACAGTCCTACAAGAACTCGGCCAAGAACTCCATCCTTTCATGGATATCTTGGTCTATCACATAGACCTCGCAATAGTGCATCTCTCATCGTTCGTATCCGCACTGCGAGTATTCATTCTTCATTGTTTCGTCAATTCCCAGGCAGATGGGTAATGACGTATCTTTCAAAGTAGCATGTTCTGCGCAACTCATGGCTGATCCACGAGTCTGTCTTCAGTTTATTCGTTCGCTTATTTACTAGTTATCTTTGGCTTGGTTTGCGGCTAGGCCTTGGTGAGATGCTTCGTGTGCTGAGCCTAAAGACTCGACTTAGTTCTGAGATTCGAGTTCCTAGGCTGCTATTGACTCTGTAAGAAGTTTCGAGATTCTGCTCTTGTTCTACCGTACATCCTCCTTCACATATACTGGTAGATATATGACAACCCCGGGCAAACCCACAATGTTCCATCCACTGCCCGAGCGCAAACCCACTCCTGTGACAGAGGAATATCATCGTCGCCCTCGCCATCCTGCCCCGAGGATACAGGCACGTCCGCGTACGTTATCAGTGCCCCTCCGACCATCGCTTCCCCGGAGTCATCGATCCACCTCGTGCGCTGCTCGGCGCGGTGCAGCCGGGACCAAAAGCTGGCTTGCCCCAGGGCCGCTGGAAGATAGTGGTCGCGGACACGAGCGTCACGGCGGTGGCCCTCCCTGGTGTTGACGACCAGCACCCATTGCAAACCTAGCCAGGGCAGACGGTCTACCACGTCCGAGGGCAGCGCCTCGTCCATGTAGCAATCGGGTCGCGTGAGGACCATATGCGTGAGATTCGGTGAGCACTGCAGCAGACCCTTCACGAAATAACCCTCTACACAAGGGTTGTATAGCGCGAGACGGCGCAGGCGCGGCCAAGTGAGCCATACCGCGGGGTCTTCAATCAATTCCCCCGCTTCCGGCTCCTGCGGCAAGGAATTCAGGTAGAGCTCGTCCTGGACGGAGCAGAAATCCTCCAGCACGGCGAGGTGGGAGAACGCGGCGCGAAGGATCGCGCGCAGGCCCCGCACGTCGTCTTCTGCGTACAAATATCAGGGGGGGGGGATGTTGATGACGAGGCTTTGGAGAGGAGCCCCAACCTGCGAGAGCAGATCGCAAACCTAGTAGACCGTGTGGTCATCGAGCTGATCGGGCGGAAATGGGGCCAGGTAGAGTGAGTGATCCTGAATTGGCTGTGAGATAGGTGGGCTCGATCGTTAGTAGTAGTATCGCTGCTTTCCTCCAAATACCTGCTTTGGCCCAGCAGCTTGTAGTCACTCCCGCGAGTCGATGTAGAGACAGTGCTGGAAGAGCAGCCGTCGCGAGGGGTGGTGAGTGAGTTTGCATGCCAAGGTAAGACTAAGCAAGGTCTGTGCTACAATGTCGCCCGGGGGATTGTTCGCTGCCAGCTCAGCAAAGTCTCCATCGTAAGTTGGGTTAATCTTAATCAGCTCGGCATAAATCTCCTGTATGGTGCCGCTGAGGATCACGGTGGGACCCCCAGGGCTTGTTTCCATTTCCCAAGAAAACTCCTCTACACCATAACCTGGGAGACGAGCTTCAAGTCCATGGGCCTAAAGGATGTATCAGGGATATGCAACAAAGCACAGATAATGGAACGCGTACAAGATAGAAGGCTGCGAATGCAGGAAGAAAGGTGATAAGTCTCATCTTCGTTGGAGCTTGAGAGAGTTTTCAAACCAGAGAAGGAGAAGATCTGAGATTGTTAATCAGACCCGTGCTGGTAAGCAGAAGAGGATATCGCATTTTCGAGGGAGAGGATGGTCAATTTATACCTTTCACTCGGACACTTTGATACTTATTTCTGGACAAACGACAAGAATGTGTCCAAGGGAAAGTGTGAACCACCCTTGTTCAATGTTGCATTAGAAAGTCTCGTAGCAAGCTAATGCACCTGCGCTACTCCGTCAGCACCAGGGTTGTGTAGACGTTCTATCCAATAAACTTAAAGTCAGGAGTCCCATACTCGACTCCCACTATTCATTCAAGGGTCAAGTGGCAAGACCGGAGTTAGTAAGAGGTGTCGAGGATAGAAATAGATTGAGTGACTCCTCACGGTTGACATAAATTTCCGACTGTCTACCGATGGACTTTTGTGAGCTCTCTGGATCTCTATTAAATGTTGATGAGTTTGCTCTCACAAGAGATTGAATCACACCTTCCAATGTAGCGATTCCCTAAGTGAGAGAGTTCTGGTTACTCGACAGAGCCAGGCAGTCATGAAAGTTAGCGTGGAATCGAATGGCTAGATAGTTGACTTACGGCTAATATCATCCTAGCAATCCGAAGAGCGCCGAGACTACCGAAGATTATCTAGAAGACCTCATACCACAGTCTATGCGACTCGAACTAGATGCTACTCACTAACCGCAAGAGTGCAATGGTCAAGTCTGATCCTGCGCAGAGCATTGAAACAATACCCATCCGGCACTAGCGAAACGGTCACTTATCATATGCTGAATGCAACTGCTCGGGGTCGGGATAAAATTTATGGCTCGTAGCACACAGTCATAAACCTCAAATCAATTTCTTAGAGAGTGGAATCAAGGACCTTGAGTCAGGAGCCAATCCAGTGTGGGCGTGGGTCAGAGTGGCTAGCAGTTGAGACTGTGAAGCTAGTACGTGGTCGATTAATTTCCATGAGCACAATGGCCTCGGCGAAGCTAGATTCAAGGGTTCCAAGTCGGGTTCCCCATGTAACGATTGCACGTAACATTAATGTGAATTGGCTGAGAGAAGGTGGTTCTGCTTCATGGCAAGGCAAATGATATCCAGTACAGTGAAGTGCGAAATTGATAACAAAGCGAGACGGAAGGGAGCTAGCATGTTAGGATGACATATTGCTAGCAGAAGGGATATAAGAAATGTCTAAGCCATACTCATGCGCTAAATCAGCTTGCATACGGCTGAGACAATCAGGGAGATGAATGCTCGAGGATGCTCGAGCTGTTTGATGAAGACTGGGTCGAACGGATGAAGTTCGGAGGATCGAGTGTTGTTGACTGACAGGGTACGAAAGACCCTAAATACCACAAGCAAGCGCAGCTTCCATCATAGTGCACTTACTTACCTGATCCTTAACATACGAAGCCGAGCCCCTGACAGCTCGTTTCCTCATCAGGCCGGTCGCCTTTCGCTTTACCTTCCTAGAGCTTCCTGATGCCTTATAGTCTGGGGTTCCTATCCCAGGTTTTCCTTCTAGAATATCGCTGACATATAGCTCGATATTTCATGGTACGATACTTTGGTGTTACAGCCCTGAATGGCCGAGTCGGGACCGAAGGCTACGTTGTGAAACAATATTCCACGGATATCGGGATTGGGTGGTCTAAAATTGTGTTCATAGATTAACTTCCTAACCGTATCTCCCCGGAAAGCCGGCTGGCGGGTGCAAAAGAGTCAACAAAAGGACCTTCGTGGGGGTTAGACTAGACCACTGGTCTCATGGCGTATAGAGGGCGGCCAGTCAAAACAAGGGCAGCGTGCGCCAAGTACTGCATTTATCATTCTAAGTCTAGTTAGTTAGGGGCCTTGGAACATGATAAATGTAAATGGTCGAGGACATTCGGTGATTAGTCAATGACTAATAATGTACCCTGAGTCTGAGCACCACTATGCACCGCTATAGATGTATGTCTCACCTCGGACAATCGCTCCTGGTGGGTGATGGGTCAGCTCAGAGCTGATTAGACAGCCCAGTGGAGCTGCATGCTTTAGTGCTGCACGGTGTGGGGAACGACTTCCAGTGGTAATCCACCACGCCCTAGCGAAGTGCGACCCTGAGAAACCTAACTGATGTATTAGTACTGTATGGAGTACCCTGGAATAACTAACGTGTCGAGTCAATCTGGCCGAGGCTCATACACACACTAAAGATGTCTTAGAGTTGTTCCCTGAGAGAGCTAAGAAGGCCTCAGGATGCTGACCACGGCGCCATCCGCCATCCGCCATCCGCCATCCGTTATCCCCGATTCCTAGTAGCCTCCACGGACAAATACCGTCTGCGTCAGATGCAATATACTATTCGAATTCCCTGCTTTCAACCCTTCCTGCCATTGCTCAACCTCGCGCACTCATTCTAAACCCCATCAACCGCAATCATGTCCACCGCGCCTGCGAGAAGAGTCGCTAGTGCATTTCTCGCTCAGCTCGCTTATTGCCTCAACCTGCGCGCCTCGAGAATTTTTCTTGCCTGCTTTTTAGTTTGACTTCTGCTGTTTCAGTATGGCCGAGTTAAGTTCTGGCGTGATCCCCACTCCGCTTTCTTTCAGGAGGACCATGTGTATGATATGGGTTACAGCCTCTACCGTGAGCGGGAGGCTTGGCATTTTATCTCACGGCACAATTCGGACTCTAAGCCACCTGACTATGTGAAGGGTGGTCCAACTCCTTCGGTTTGTGCAGCCATTGTAACTGTTCGGCGAGACTTAGACCACTATTTCGAAGCCTCTGTTGGGTCACTATTGGAGGGATTAGATGAGAGAGAACGTCGAGCTTTGTATCTCAGGGTTCTCTTTGCCGACACCGATCCTGGAGTACATCCCAGTTGGGGTCAGAAATGGGTGGATCGACTCGTGGATTCAGTCGAAACCTATAATGTGTCGGAAGCAGAACTGGTGCATCTGCAACAACTGGAGACAGAACGGAATTTCTATGAAAAAGGGGTTTCGTAAGTTCTCTCACCCTCTATATCTCTCGTTATTAGGATATGTTCCGTGAGCCGTCTGAAGTGACAAGATGCTCTACCTCTCGTACAAAGAGAGAGAGGGAGAGAGACAAGAGAAAAAAACACAAAGCTAACTGCATTGGTAAAGTGACTACATATACGCATTGCAATCTTGTCAAAAGATCAATGCTTCGTACATCATCATCTTCGAAGACGATATTGTTCTTGCCACCGGATGGTTCTCGAAGACTGTAAAGGCGCTGAAGGACATTGCCCGGCGGGAGGAAGCACAGCGGCGGCGAGAACATCACCAGAGTTCTTGGATCTACCTGCGCCTCTTCTACACGGAAACAGCATTGAGCTGGAGTGACTCTGACTGGGCATACAGACATATGCCACTCGTCTTTGGCATCCTGATGCTCTCGACCTTTGCGGTCCTGGTCCTCCTTCGTCGACGCCCTGCTCATTACGTCCCACAACTACGTCTTCGTCTCGATTTCATGAGCATTGTGGTGATTTCTGTGGTCTGTGTTCCCGCTTTCACTGCGCTCATCTACATGATTGGGAAATACAGCTTGAGCCCACTCCACGGGGTTGTTGAAATGAATAAGTCGGGATGTTGTACTCAGGGCTTGGTATTCCCCAGCCAACAGGTGGACGGACTGATCGCATTTTTGAGCTCCAGAGGACATGGACAAACGGACTCGCTCATCGAAGAATATGCGGATCAAACCCAACGTACCCGTTACGCGTTGGCCCCGCCCCAGCTTCAACACGTAGGATTGAAGTCGAGCCGTGACAATCTCGATATCAATACTCGTAGTACGTGGGCATTTTGGTTCGAGACGAATGGTCCTAAGGTACTGAACAAGGAACATACCGACTTGTTGGAGGATATAGATGTCGAGAACATGTTAAAGCAGGAGTGAATCTTTCCATTGAAAGAAAAGCGCTCTTTACAAGGTCCACAAGACTGTCGTTCAACAAGTCCTGCTCATAGCTTTTTTATTACATTATGAAAGGAGGCAAAATGGCACGGTGCTCTGAGTAACTGAGGTCCTGCTTCCAGTGATGAGAAGAAGCTTTGAATGTGAGAGCAAGCTCAATGTCCCATTGTTGCGATGGATATGTGGGGAAGAAGCGAGAGGTGGATTTGTTCGTGATGCTGCTCCCACGTTTCTCCTTCCTCTTCCATTACAAGGAAGCAAGAATTTAATCAGCTGCATTTGAAGTCCGTAACGCTCGCACGGGAGTTCATCAAAAGAGCGACAATCAAACCATACAGGCCTATCCCGTTGCATTAGCTTCCGTTGAATATCTGACCGGGTCACCACAATAACATAACTCAAGCCCACTTACCCAAGACCTCAGCAAAGATTAGAATCAGGATCATGCCAACGTAAAGTCGCGGCTGCTGGGCTGTACCTCTTACTCCCGCGTCCCCAACAATCCCAATTGCAAACCTGATCAGTGCTTTTGTGTCAGTCCCAACACGCAGAAACAGTGCCAACACCACAGGGAACTGATCTTGGACACACTGATCCACTCACCCGGCAGCTAATCCACACAGCCCGACCGCGAGGCCAGCACCCATCTGGAGAAGACTGGTGTAGAGAGCCACCTCTTGGGAGAGGTTGTTCGCGATCAGGACTGAAACCACCAAGCCGTAGATCCCGAGGATACCAGCCATGACGATGGGCACGATGTCTAGTCGGTAATATTAGAAGTTGAGCACAAGGCTTCCGTCTTGCAGAGCTCACTCTTCACGATCAAGTCAGGACGGAGGACTCCCGCGGAGCAAACGCCGACGCCAGCCTTCGCTGTTCCGTAAGCTGCCCCACAGGCAGTGAAGACGATTGCACTGGTGCATCCCAGGGCTCCGAAGAACGGCTGTCATATACAAACGGAGTCAATGCCACTGACGATGGGCCATGATTATGGACTTGTGCTGATTAGGTATGAGGAAAACGGCTCTTACTGCATAGGTGGGGCTTTGGGGAATTCATTAGTACTGCTGTAGTCATTTTGATCCTGCAAATGTATTCGCATTCGTTTGGGACAGCCTCACCAAAATCCCGATGGCATTATAGATGACCTGGAAGCCAGGAACAGACAGTTAAATCAATCTAGAAGTCTGTACGTCAGACCTGATGAAACTTGGGTGATCGGGGTTGCAAGTAAGCTAGGGCACAGTGCCTAGCTTTATAGTAACGTCAATCGGGCACTCCCACACTTCCCGTCTTAGCCCGCCTCCGCTCCATGCAGGCGACCACGATAGTTCCTTCTCGCACTTAGCAGTCTCCCTTATTACTGCAGCCTGTTCAGATTACGGTGTAGTCCAAGTCGAGAGGGGTACGTTGATTTTGGTACTGATTTTACCAGCTCTTAGCTAGGGTGTATAAAGGCACTAACCGGATTTGGATATTGTACTGCACCACTGGGCACCAGGCACAATGTTTTCTTCTCTGTGATCAGACCATGTGTAGTGGGCGAGATGCGAGATGACGTGTTTAGTAGGCTAGCGATGCAGGGTCAAATGTTGTCAGGCAACAACACCTGTCAACATGATTCAATATTCCACTAGGTATAGATCGGTCTAGGCGCTACGGCTGGCGGAAGAAAGCCGCGTTCTCCTTGGCCCAATCACGACAAAAACGTGGCTGCCTGGTTACTCCCGTCCTGGACCCTGATCCACCCTTCCCCGCAGACCCCTTCTATTAGGCTGGTAGGCTGGAGGAACGAGAGACATCAGAGGATATTTTAGGGAAGAAGACGAGGGGCCTGTAGAACTTTCCCGGAGAGTCCACAGATTAGTGAAAAGAGCTGACTGTGACCTACAAATAACCGCAAATCTGTCACTCAGAAAAGACTGCTTCTTTATGTTTTATAGAATGTATGCACTTGGAGAACTACTCCATTCTTACCTGACCCCCTGTTACCCTCTTTTTGTTTTGTGAATAAGCAATCTTCCCTAGAAATGGAGACGGGGAAACATCCCCTATTCTGTCTGGTCCCTCGAGGATGGAGTTATCAACATTGATAACACCTGCGAGAGGGGTGTGAGATCGTGGATTATAGTAATCAAGATCAAGCGACTCATAGACAACTTATTCCGCTGACATGGAACCATGACGAATTCAAGAACGTGTTAAACACACAAGAAATATCTACATACGCTCTGAAATCAACTCCTCTTCTTATGGCCTCCCTCACAGTCGGGCTTTATCCTCCTCTCGACCAACAAGGTTAGGGTGCGGGGAGCGAACGGGTCGCGTAACAGCATAAAAGGCAAAACCTTGGGACTTGGTCGAAAACTAGAAAGTGTTTCAAGAAGACAAAGAGGATCAGCCAATGCCGCTCGTTCTATCAGGAGAATCTTGTCTCCATGACCTCAAGATACTTTGTTATCTTACCTGAACTTTCGAGCCCACGTGGAAGAACGCAAAGTCACCGGGGACTAGATGGTGGGTGATTCCGGTTGCCTCATCCTGTGAATTATCCAGCACCGTCAGCTCCCCTTGTCCTCCAGAAGCCACAGAATTGGGGAGGCAGTGGCTGCGGAGACGAGAGGAAGCATACCAAAACATCGATTTGCCCACTCAAAACATACTTGGTCTCCTCGAAGGCATAGTGCGCGGGTCGGTGAGGGCCAGCCTCGATCTTGTAAAACCCCGAGGTAAAGTAGGATGGGGAGTCGGTGGTCTGGGTGCGGATGGAGTGGAAATCGGCCGTCGTGGCGTTCTGGCCTGCGGGGAGGGGGATGAACTCGTAGCCAGCGCCCTTGATGACGGTGAGAGGGACAAGCTTGTTCGACACTGCCATTTTTTGGATACCCGGCATTAGCAAATTCTTCGGCAGATTGTGCATGGAATCGGAAAACTCACTTCTGCTTTGATTTGACTGGGAGGTGGGCTGGCAAGTAAGAGATGAAGCAGACCGAACCCTTCTTGGAAGTATATAAATGCTTCGAGCTGGTTCGGAAGTAGTTCCCGCATTGGAGGTGGACAGGGCCCGGCTGTAGCCGCCGAGCGAGCGGATCGTTCGGATGTGTAGCCCGGCCGACAATGTATACCTTCAATGTTCATCTGCCATTTATGTGAGGTCCGAAGAAGATGAGACGGCTGGCATATTTGATGCCGTGTAGAAAATTTGTATTGAGATGGAATATCCGAAGTCAGTGTCGGAGAAGAAACCGGGCTGCAAAGAGTGCTTAACCTACTGTTGTTCAGCTTCACATCGGGGATTTTCTTCAGCCGCACATATCCAGCTACAAGGAGATGAAACTGGCTTGGTAAGCAAGATCAAATGGTGGGACAAACAGTAGGCAATCCGATGGCTAATGGAACGGGATAATTGAAACGAGGCAGGATAGAGAACCCTAATTCGCGCTTACCGATGCTCTTCCGTTTGCAATGCTGACCGCCCCTCTAGCACCCACGTCATATTGGATACTTGCATAAACAATAAGGACTTGGTTTGCAGGAGCAATGATATGGAAAAATGTCAGCAGGACAATCAGAGAGTTCTGGTAAGCGATATTGAAGGGTTTAGTTTATATTGATCGCCGCGTCTTTATAAAACACACGGCTATTGTTACATCAGAGGCAAACAATAAAAAGCAAACAAAGAAAACCTCACCTAAAAAGTCTTGTTTATATTATCTTAAGCCTTTACCCACCAATATCTATGGCCATTTCCTATATAAACACCAGACTCTCCTTCTTAGTCCCCTTCGCAGCGTCTCTCAAGTGACTGAACCCCACCAATCATCTCTTGGTACCCATTCTTACACAAGTGAAATAAGGCAGAACACAAGCGTGGAATTATGTCGGAGACAGCTGAGCGCACCCGGGACCCACGCATTACCGGCGGATGGCCGTGGGACACGAGCCTCCCTCAGTTCGAGCTCTTGATGCTGTCATATGAGACGCACAGGGCGGTGGTCAACGACTGGATATTTTTTGTGGACTCGGTCATGAGGAAGTGGGTAGGCCAGCGGCAGCGGCAGCCCGATCTTCGCGATAAGCGGATGGCTCTGATGCTGCTCTCTCCCGGTTACCGCGTTCACTTCCTGGTCGAGCCCCTGCCGAACATAGTACCTGTCTTATTCTGCTCCAATGGCCGGCAGGAGTTCCGCTTGGACGAGGACGACATCGACAATTGCAAAGCGGCCTGGCGCACCGTGGCCCGTTTCATCTTGGACGGTCAAGGCGAGATCGACTGAGGAGCCGGTGACTTGACAGGTTGTTGGAAAAGGTGTGAAGGAGCTGGCCGTCAGGGGTTTTCTGGCGAGGCTTAGACGACTTCCATGGGAGGGCGGAGTTGGTTAGGGAGGAAAGGTGACTGTTGAATTTATGAGGACAGAATGAAAACGTATCTAGTAATGCAATAAAACGGCATTTTGTGCTGGTGTGATTCCCAGTGATAGCTAGCTTGTATGCTCAACACATACCATGCAAATGCCCTCCTCGCTTATGTCAGCTATAGCATCGGCGTTTCTTTCCTGGTATAGGTATGATTATTGGAGTGACGGTCTCCACCTTGATGGCTGGTATCATAAACCTGCAGAGGCAGCTGGCTACAAGGAGTCGCAAAGTGCTGGCCCGCCAACATACTGTCAACACCGCAGGTGGAAGCTCTGGCCCTGTCGCTGTCGCGGCGAGTAGTCTCACTGATTAAGGAACGACCTATTTCATCAATGATTTTAATCTCTCATACCAGTAAGATGGAGGTAAGAACCGGTCACCACACCACGGACCAACAACGCGGCGACCCAAAGCGGAGCGGCGTATGAAGTGGGTCAACCCGTCTTTGCAGTTCAAGGTACATACCGTTTTATCTTCAACTACGATAGCTAGAAAGAGAGAAAAGGAGCGCCATCTCCACCGATGACACATCTTCCTGTTTCCCCGTGTCTTTGCTCTTCTCTCTCTTCTCAATTCCCATCCACCCAAACCAAACGCCATCCCGCGCTTCAAATTCAGAAGCAAACACCATGACACCCACCCCAACCCCCAACAACCCCCCTTCTCACCCCCCCATCCCAATGAACAATGATTCTCAAAAGCCCTCAGACCTCGCACCCCCGTTCATGGCAATGACCACGCACGCCATCCACGCCGACGACGAATTCAGCGCGCACCGCGCCATCGCGCCCCCAATGCACGTAGCCGTGACCTACCGATACGCGCGGGATCCAGCGCACCTGATCCCAATGGAGAACAAAGACGTGCGTCCCCTTTTCCCCCTCCCAAAACCCCCAAGCTATTCCCTTTCACCACCACCCATCTTCTAACCACCCCTATACTCAGCCCAACGCCCCGCACGACTCACACATATACTCCCGCTACTCCGCCCCGAACACGTCCTCCAACACATCTTCCACCCCTCCGCCGGAATCCTCACCTACAGCACGGGACTAGCCGCCTTCCACGCGATCCTAGTCCTTCTCCAGCCAGCCCGGATCTTTATAGGGGAGGGGTACCACGGCGTGCACGCGGTGATCTCGCTCGTCGCGCACCTCAGCGACGGCCGCAAATGCCAGAAACTCTCCTTGGAGCAACTCCACCTCCTAGGACCGGGGGACATCATCCACGTCGAGACGCCCGTGAACCCGACGGGCGAGGCGCGCGACTTGGTCAGCTACGCGGCGCGGGCCCGCGCCGCCGGCGCGTATCTGACGGTCGACTCGACGCTGGCGCCGCCGCCGCTGCAGGATCCGATTGCGCTCGCCGGGGCGGATATTGTCATGCACAGTGCTACGAAGTACTTGGGGGGGCATTCGGATATGCTGGGTGGAATGTTGGTGGTGAATCCGGAGAGGGTCAGGGAGGGGTGGATGGAGCGGTTGGAGGCCGACAGGATGGTGCTCGGGGCAGTGATGGGGAGTTTGGAGGGGTGGTTGGGGTTACGGTCGGTGAGGACGCTGGAGTTGCGCGTGCGCAGGCAGGCGGAGACGGCGAGGGTGTTGGTCGCTTGGTTGGTGGCGGAGATTGCCTCTGCTTTGTCGGTGGTGGGGAAGGTGCTGCGAGGTGTACGGCATGCGTCGCTGCAGGTGGAGGATCTTGGGGGTGATGGTGGGGGGTGGTTGCGGCGCCAGATGCCGGCGGGGTTCGGGCCGGTGTTCGCTATCACGGCGCGCACGCCGGAGTTGGCGAGGCGGTTGCCGTCGAGGATGAGTGTGTTTCAGCATGCGACGAGTCTGGGCGATGTGGAGAGTTTGATTGAGTGGAGGGCGATGAGTGATAGTAGTTGTGATGAGTGTCTGCTGCGCGTGAGTTGTGGGTTGGAGGATGTTGAGGACTTGAAGCGGGATTTCTTGCAGGCCTGTCGTGCTGTTCTGTCTTGGGATGATGCTGGTGGCTGTGTGGGGGTTTGAGGTTGTCTTGAGGGTCGGGGGATGGTATGGTTTCGAAGAGTTTATCTTGTTTCTAGATCGTTCGAATGGATCGGGTTGTTTGTCGAGGTTTCCCGTAGAAACGTGACTGTACACTGGCATCCTCTACACACGATGCTCAAGATCCGGGTAACTCTCTCGGAGGTATACAATAGATAGTCACTCCTCTCAGCTTCCCTCACGAACAAATCGTAAACCATTGGTGAATAGATCTCGTGTTGCAGTGCGTCTAAAAGGGTCCACGGCAGCCTTTGAGTCCCACCCGTCCAGCCCTAATCGCAGCACAGTACCTGACTTAGTACAGTACAGCGGCGACCCGATCATTCGCCGCCCCTGCGCGGCCATCGGGGAACCAAATCATACAGTCTACTCAATCAACAATGCCTACCGAAATCCAACACCATTGGACGAAAAAGCCTAAACCAGGATACGTCTTACCCTGAAACTCATTATCTATCTACTATACAATGGGAGAAGACAAGAACAAAACAGCTAATCACATTTCACCCCCACACACTGAATGATACGCGCTCTGAACCTCCGCCGCCATTCCCCCAACCCCCTCAAACATGACCGTCAACCGCATGACCCCAAGGATCGAGTCCACGCCCTGCCGTATCTCCCGCAGCAGCCGCTCCACATCCGGGATCTCGGATCCCGGCTCCACCGGGTGCGGAAGTAGGTGCGCGTACTTGGACAAAGAGACCTGCGAATCCTCCACCGTCGACCAGAGCGCCGCCCGAAGCTGATGGTAAGTCATAAGCAGGACATACGAGGCCTGCATCGCGCCGCAGAGGAAGAACGGTATCATGTGCGCTTGGGGTGGAACATGGGCTAGAGCCGGAAGAACAAATCTCTCCGCGGAGGAAGCGTGCGATGCTCCAATCGGGTGGGGGTGTGGTGCTCCGCGGCGCACACCACCTCCAGAGGCAATCGCTGCGATCCTCTCGTAGGCGCGTGACATGGCCAGGGAAGCTTTCAGACAGATCAGGGAGGACTGCGCTTCTGTGAATGGGAAGGCGGCAGAGGCGAGGAACCGGTCTTCGAGTGTCATCTGCATCGGACAGCTGGGGTCTGGTTGATCGGGGAGATCGCAGTGACTGGAGACGAATAAGGGGGGTATGTTGCTGAAGGCGCGGGACCGATGGAGTCGCACGCGGGCTCTAATAACAGGATTATGGGCAGTTAGTCCGTTTGTCTGGCTGGCAAAAGGCGCGGATCGGGAATCAAATACGAATAGGTCAAGGACTGAGCGATCGCCCACGCCGTTAAGAGGGCTTGTGCTTCGACATCGGTCCTGGATTCAGGTCGCGGGGACCGGTCGAGTTTGCGCGTTAATTCGAGGATGGTCGAGTCCAGTTGCGTGATTTCAGGCTTGATCTGGGAAGGAGACGCGGCTGCTAGGGTTTGAGGGCTGTGCCGGTTATGCAAGGTCTGCGAGACAGATAGGATGGCCGCTTCGGCCTGGAGTAGAAGGGGCCACAACTTAGGATAAAAGTCAGGTTCCGTGAAGAGTTCGGTGTTAAGTGACGCTGCCGTACCTCTGAGTGGTTGTGGATGGCAGGATACGGGGTCGTGATCCTCTGGTCATCAAGTGTGATGATAGGCAACTGAGGTTTACCAGCGGTTACCAAAAAGTGGAGATGAAAGGTTGATGAAAGCAGAGAAGTTCCAGATAGGACATTACTTACTACGTCTTGATCGATGGACGACAGATACAGAACGAACATCTGCAGGATTCATTAGTCACACCCCAGAGCTCTGTTTTGCGCGAAACGCACCGCACCCCACCACACTCGGCGCTGTGCCTCGGTTGCCGCAGCACCCAGGCTATGCAAGCGGAGATCCATGGCGGCCGTGATCGCCTGGTTAGCGCGACGCCGCATACGTGACACGTTCCCTCGCTGGCAGTATTCATGGACACTTAGTAATATCAAGGCTAGGACGGAAGACACTGGCGAGAGGTCGTTCCTACCGGTCCCGGGCCTTGCTAAGGTAGCTGGGTGGGTCGGTGTTTGAGAAATCACATCGATCTCATCGTCCACTGCACGAAACGCCGCCTCTGCGAAATGTTGTGCCGCCAGCCGTCTCAACAAAATACTAGATTCCGAGCTCGGGTCGGAATCCGGAGGCAGAGGAATGGATACCAGAATGGCTGAGATGGCCAGAGTGAGCGCGGAGGCTGGCCAGTGTGGGAAAGAGGATTCTTGGATGGTCCTGACTTGTCCCTGCGCGAATTGAACAGTCGAGGGCCGGTCACCAATCTGACACGTTGTCAGAGGAGGCGGAAGTATCGGTAAGAATGGATGGATGTGTACATAGTAAGCATTGACTCTGGAGTCGCCGTCAGTCATAACAAACATGATCTGGCGGTATACAGCCCCGCAGAAGGACCTTATGGCTGCTGCTTGGATGCTGATACTCACATGTCCTCATCGGATGTATATGCGCGCAGAGGTACGAGAGAGTTCGTGCCCATCACGTCTCTCACGGGATCACAAACATTGTTGTCCGGGGCTGCTGCCGCTGGCACTCTACTCCAATCATCATATCTCGACCCATCGATCCCATCCACATCCAGGTTGCGAATCCCACCAAGAGGATCGAGTAAACTGAAAATACTTGCCGGGTACTCTTCCTCTCCTATCACTTGAGTCGACGCAGAGACTGCAAATGCGTGCTGGGAGCTGGGTAGAGGCTGAAAGGTAGGGTTGTGGACTGGAGCCGGAGCCTCGGTGACCGGCGACTTGGGCGCACCACCGCGACGGATCCCGCCCCGACGGCTGGGGCGATAGACACAATTCAATCCCTTGTAAGAACACTACTGACGAAGTCACTGACTATCCCAGTGTGGACATTTGCCCAGTACGCAGTGGAATACCGAAAAAAACTTACTCTGCTACATGGGTTCCGTCCGTCGCATCGGATCTTGCGCGCGCGACTTGACATCCGGAGCGGTTAATTTTTCCATGAGTGAGTCGTTCAGGTAGCGGAAGAATGACTGACCAAGCAAGACAGGCGGCTCTACTAGGGGCTCTGTGACCAGCATGCATATGTGGAAAACAGTCAGAAGTCACTGATCTCAAGGATCTCCGGTAGTATGCAGGTCGAGTGAGAGCAATTCCCGTCTGAGGATGAATCTTCCTGGAGGAGGGGAGAGAATTGGAGCTGAGAGGGTGGATGATGTCACGTTGGTAAAACAGGAGGTTAACATACCGGGGACTCGGTGTGAAGTGCGGCGACCCAGAAGTTCAAACACCGCTCGCCGCCCGGCGAAGACCGCAATTGGTGAACCAGTTCATGGACGCCGCTCCCCAGTATCTCACTCACATTTATGTACTATTACCACCCCGGTAATGGAGATTTCGCTTTTGCAAGCAACGCGAAATGAAGTCACAGGTTCCCATGTGAAGTAATCTCGATTTGAGAGGGTTGCCAGCGCATTATCTTCATATGGCCCTGTTACCAGAGCAGACGGGGGGTTACATGATCAAGCACAAGCATGGGCACATGCAGAGTGTTTGTTGACTGGGAAAGTGACATACCACAAGAATTTTGACGGGCATGTTAAAGGATCGCTTTCTTCTTCTCTTGGCACATACAATAAGATGGAAATATAGACCGCAGTAAAGAAGAGAAATCAATCAAGGATATGTCTGAATCCGGGGGCAAGCGTTCTAGTTGGGGCGAACCCCCAGATTTTCCCGGCTCTTTTATCATCTTTCCAAACCTATTTGGATAGTAAATGGGATAATATACCATCACCACTATGTCACGCTCCTTGAATTGATAGTCCAAGACCAATAACTTAACTTCAACCTCCTTTAGTGCTAGCCCCGAGTTTTCTGCTATAAGTAGTTACTAGCACAAGGCCTTACAGACAGTTTCTAATTATTTTAAGACCTGGTCAGCCATGCTATATGGTCTGTTCAGGTGCTGCAGCTTCTCTCTCTCGATCGCAACACCGTCGACTATTAAGAGGATCTTCAGGTTCTCTCAGGCCAATCTGCCATCTGAAATCTATACTGTCAGATCCAAATCAAGAACAGTAAAGAAATACCGATGCGTGCAAATTCTTGATGTTGCTTTGAATGAACTTGTTAACTGAGAAAGTCTTGTGAACATTGCAAATGAGTGTCATCGTTGACGAGTACTTGGCCTTCTCGTAACGCTTCTACCCAAAAACATCCATATCGATCAATCGACAGATCACAAAGCTTAAAGGACACCCCGGAGATATGATCCATATACATGCAACTACCGTTCGTATCATTCCGTGTCAATTTCTGCTTGGCAGCTCCTCGAAGCGATCTCGATGTTTGGGAGCATAAATGATGCATACACCACTATCTGAAAGTCTCCAGCATTCCCTTCACTTGATCGCAGTTGATCACAATAATTGAATGAACCAACTTGGCTATGGACAATGAACGCTAAAATTCCAACATAAACGAGAGACTGAAAATGATCACACCGTCGGCGTGCGCCATGACTGGACTATCATGGCCAAAATTGGCAGCCAAGAGTGATAACAGGATGCTAAGGAAATGTAATCCCCGAACAATGTGCGCTAACACGCTCCGGCCATGTGAAAAGACGACTGTTGCACAACTAGACAGGGCCAAAGCTGATGAAGCCATTCTCGCCTGGCTCGTCGGCAACCGGCCTATTATAGGCTAAGTGTTGAACAGGCACGCAATCAGTACCGAGCAAAATTCGCAAGTTTCTCTATTTAACCCAACTCCTACCCAATTGTGAATTCCGCTACGTCCAGCTGAAACACATATCCCGATCATGCGTCTTGTCTCTGCCATTACCGCCTTCGCTGTGGTTAGTACTGCCGCAACCGCGGACACCGTCCCCGCGGAGCTGGCGAGCATCGGGGAGCCGTCAACGGTACTGAATGCCACCTACTCCGTGGGGTCGACTGCAGTCAGCTTCACCCCTGGCGAATTCTTCAACACGACCGGTATGCACGACCGATCCCCTTATTAGACCGTCTGATTGACCGATGCACCGTGTATAGTCGCCAAAAGCGCGCTGGAGCCGCATCTCCACGACTTGGGGCTGAGCAGCTCGTGACCCTACCTGCTGCTGATGGTCGACACCACTCCCCATCAGTGATCGTGCATACCGTTGTGGCCAACTTGGCCACCGCCGTCAACAGTATCAGCGACGTGAACGTGTTGGCCTCCTACATCGCCCCCAGCACAAGTCTGGCACGCACAACTACACACTGTTCCTGTTCGACCAGCCCGCCAACTTCAGCGTCCCCAGCCGCTACGAGTCCTTCATGCAGACCACTGCTGAGACTCCCCTGAGCCGACTGAACCTGCCGCTGGAGAGCTTCATCGACCAGACCGGACGGGGCAAGCCGGTCGCGGCCAACTACTTCCGCGTCCCAGCGGCGAGCAACGACACCAGCTCCAGCTCGGACGGATCCGGCTCCAGCACGAGCACAGGCACGAGCACAGGCACGAGCACCGGCACCAGCACCGGCGCCACCGCTAGCGAGACGTCGAGTGGGGCGGGTCACAGGATGGCAGCGGGCAGTTATCTGGCCGGCGCACTGGCCCTGGTCGGTGCGGTGGTGGTCTCCGTCTGATCTGCACCGTAGACTACAGTACGTGTTGCTCGAAGACAATGATGGCGCTGGAGAGGTAAAGAGCAAGCTGGCACCTCGCGTGTTTTGTATATAATCAGCATTGTACAGTAAATAATAACAACGCCCGGAAGACCGGCACACGCGTGCAGCCAAAACCTCGACTCCGGTCCAGCACTTGATGTAATCTGCATGCACTAAGCCCGTTAGCGGGGGCCAGAGTATCCTGTTGGTCATGCAATCTGGCATTTTTCATTGACCACCCCTGTAGAAAAGCCAGCAACCGTGGTTGCGCGGTCTCGGAGTGGCGTGCATTAGATGCACGAGCAGCTAGGGCTAAGCTTCACGCGCTAATTGCCCTCCCGTCAGCACTAGCTGGTTAGTTCGTTCGGCGTTACCCCTCTTCGATCATTAAAATGCGAGGCATTTCAGTTTGTTTTCTGTGATTTATAACCATCCCCCCTTGGCAATCGCAAGGCAAATACAATTGAACCTCTGGTTCCTGATTCATTTCCGTCGCCCATCCATGCTTCAGCCACCATGTCCACCACCGACACCGAGACCACCACCACCACCACCACCACCAAACCAGGCTGGTACCAAACCAGCGTCACGGCCATCGACCCCGCCGCGCAGTCGCTGTTGGAGGAGTACAGCGGACTCAAACCCGAAGAAGTCCTGCCCCATGTCTTAGCCCTGGTACGCACCCTTCCCTATTCCCCGGCACACTATCTCCCCTAACCCCCTGTGTTTCACACGACGCCACCTTCCTCCCGCCGACGTAAAGCCATCCATGCTGATCCTGTGGAATAAAAATACGCAGAGAGACGAAGCCTTCGCTATCTTCCCATACCCCTGCATCGGCCAAATGCGCTTCCTCAGCTGCCACCTGGCGCGCCTCCCGTTCTACCCGCAAGTCCTCGCCCGCCTGCGCGCGTCTCCGGCCCACGGCTTCCTGGACGCCGGGTGCTGCGTCGGCCAGGAGCTGCGGCACCTGGTGCACTGCGCGGGGATCCCGGCGTCCCAGCTGTACGGCTTCGATCTCGAGCCGGGGTTCTTCGACTTGGGGTTCAAGCTCTTCCGCGACAACGCCCAGAAGTTTCCAGCGACGTTTGTGGGCGGGGATTTCGGGGTCGAGGATGAGGGGGAGTGGGCGCGGGGCGAGATTGTGGGGACGGTCGGGGGGAAGGTGGATGTTGTGTGGGCAGGCTCGTTGCTGCATTTTTGGGATTATGAAGGCCAGGTCCGCGGTGTGGCTAGGCTGGTTGGGTTGACCGGGGGGGAGTTGGGGGCGATTGTTTGTGGGAGGCAGATGGGGAGTACGGTGGCGGGGGTGTATGAGTTGACGGGGTTGATGGACAAGACGCTGCATTATCGGCATGATGTGGGGAGTTTGTTGGGGTTGTGGCGCGAGGTTGAGAGTAGGACGGGGACGAAGTGGGAGGTGCAGGCGGAGTTGGAGGTGGGTGAGACTACGGCGAAGATGCGGAATATGAGCTTTGTGGATGATAATGCGCGTGTGGTTTGGTGGTGTGCTACTCGGGTGCAGTGAGTGGGTCTTTTGTGGGACCGGAGATCGGGGATGAGGATGTGTGATTATGAGATATGAGTATGAGTATGAGCATGTATGTCCAGGAAGCTGAAGGAAAGGAGGGTCTGAGGTTTCTCCCCCAGAATCCTGCTATTTCAGAGACTTGGGTAGGGCAGGCGTTCTGGGGGAGAACCCCCAGAACGCTGCTTTCCCAGTGAGTATACAGACGACCAGCCCTGCTTCATGCAGACAAACCCCAAGACCCTCTATCAAGCCTCTGCCCTCCCAACCATCCACAAATCCCTAAACCAGCCCTGCGGCCGAGCAATCAACTCCCGTGGCGACCCATCCTCCACCAGCCGGCCCGCATCCATGACCAGAACCCTGTCAAACTCCCCCACGAACTCCAGCCGATGCCCCACCATCACCACCGTGTACCCCGCGAATTCACTCCAGATGAGGTCGTGCATCACTCGCTGCGTCGCCGCGTCCACGCCGCTGTCGATCTCGTCAAGCAGCAAGATCCCCCCGCTGGCATTGCTTATTATATCTTGATGCATAAAAGGGAGGCGATCCCGATCATCCACCGAGACGGCAGGGGTCTTTGCCGCTACTTTTCCAGAAGAAAGGCCAGCACCAGAAGGCATTGTAGCGCATCGCTTCTCCTCCGACCTCCTCGCGCGCACCCGCCGCCGCAGCACCGCGCGCGCCAGACTCCACAGCTGCTTCTGGCCGTGGCTCAGCGCGTCGGCTGTGAAGGAGGCATCGAGGCCTCCCCGCTCTGTGACCACGTCCCAGAGACCCGTGCGCTCTAGGATGGTCTGGCACTCTGCGGGATCAGTGGTCTTGTCGGGAAATGGAGCGAGGAGGTTCGTGCGGAAGGAGGCGGTGCCGTCGGGCAAGAAGATGGCGTCTTGCGGGACGGCGATGAGACGATGGCGGAGGGTTGCGTGGTCAATTGAGGGCAGCGGTATGTTGTCGATTGTTAGGGCTGTGTCTTCGTTTGTGTTGGTGGTGGTTGTTGTGGTCCGTGGTGAGCGGATTGGGTCCAAGAGGCGGAGGAGGAGAAGAAGGATTGTCGATTTTCCGCTTGGTTCGGGTTTGTTAGCCATGTCATTCGTGAGGATTAGAGCAGTGGAGTGTTATTTTGGACGATGGGTGGTGGGCTCACCTTCCGGTTCTCCCGCAAATCGCGACCTTTTGTCCGGGTTCAATTGTGAATGAGACTTCTCTGATGGCGAGGGTGCCTGAGGCGGGAGTGGCGTCGTTGCTGTGTGTAGTTGGTATTAAGACTGTATCCACGTCACGAACACGGAAAGGGCAATGTACCTGTACGAAGCAGAAACATGCTGGAATGTAATCCTGCCTTTATCAGGCCATGAGGCAGGTAGTCGGGTTGTATTGCCGCCGTCCTTACTGCTGTCATCCTCCAGCCGATTCTCCTCAAGCCCGGCACCGCCAGCCCCGCTGTCGCAGAATGCTTTGATCCGGGCTACAGCACCAATGGAAGTCTCGAGGGCTGTGTACATGCGTACTAAGCCGGCCAGCGTCTTGCCAAAGCTCATCAGGGCGACCAGGCTGGCTCCGGTGAAGCCGGCACTTGTGTCGCGAAGCTGGGTGGTCAGTGCTACGACTAGCACAGCCAGAACAGCCACTACCATGTCGAGAACAAAGGACAACCATCGCTGGATCATGCTTAGCAAGTACGCGGGGCGCTGGGATGTGTCGAGCAGCGCATTGTTCACGCTGATTGATTCGTTGACCCAACCGAATGCGCGGAGCGTGGCAGCTCCCTTGATCGTATTGAGGTGGTGGCTGTACAGAGGGCTCTTGGCCTCGAGATCCAGCAGGCGGAGCTGACGGGAGGTGCGCAAGTAGAAACGCTGGATTGCGTATATGATGGCCAGCACGAAGGGGTAGGCGATCAGGGTGTAAGGCGATGAGCCGGCGACGATCACCGCGGCCCCACCGATGGCAATCCAAACCTGCAGGGAAGTATTAATCAGCGCCTGAGCTAACTCTCCGTCAATCAAGGTCATATCCTGCGAGAACAGGTTAGTGAGGACCCCTGTGTCGGTCTGGGATAGGGTGGACCAGGGAGCGGCAATGACTGTCCGCAGCAATGCGTCGTGCAAGCGCGATCCCGAGGTACGGATTATGGCCAGCATGCCGATGGCGGCCTCGCTGACAATGGTGGCTAGGGCCAGACCCTGGAGACAAGCATAGATTCCGAGGTAAAAGGACTTTGATTGGCCGAAGGTATCAGTACTCCAGTAGCCGATCCAGATCGTGGGAAAGTTGTAGAGAAACCCGCACAGAACGCCGAATGTGGCGAAGCTGATGAGCAGCCAAGGGCCAATGCTGCGGCAGTAGTACAAGAAGACGGCAGCATCTCCAATGGCTCGGCTCGATTTCCCGCTCTTGATCTTTGGACTGACTGCTTTGTAACCATGTGCTGTGGGAGATTGGTTTGTCGGTGCGGATGGTGGAGAGGAAGGACGAGAAATCGTTCCTCTTTCGCTCGCGGCGGCCGTTTGCAAAGTGAGGGTGCGGAGATCGCCGGGTGGCCCCTTCTCGACGATTTTCCCATTCTCTCCCAATGAAACGATATAGTCCGCTGCAGAAAGATGCCGAAGGGCACTGGTGCAGAAGATCGCGACCGCCCCTCTGGCCCTCAGGATCCCTGAAGGACCGAAGACCGCGTGAAGAATGTGCTCCTCGGTTGTCGCGTCCAGTCCGCTGAGAACATCGTCCAGGATCAACAGGTCACACTGAAGGTATAATGCTCTGGCAAGCGCGATTCGCCGTTTCTGGCCGCCACTGAGTGCGATCCCATCACTGCCAATCTGGGTCTGGTCACCCTGAGGGAGCAGCTGCAGATCGCGAGAAAGCATTGTGGCCTCGATCACGCTCGTATACCTTTCAGCATCAAATGTAGAGTACCCTTGAATGGCATCGCGAATACTCGCATTGGGAAGAAAGGGAACTTGTTCACAGTATCCAATTTGGCGGAACCTAGTCCGTAGGGAGATCTCACCTTCCGTGAACGGAATCTCTCCTAACAGCGCTTTACACAGTGTGGTCTTTCCGCAGGCAACTGAACCATAAATCATATTCAATCCTGCGGAGAACGAAACATGGATGTTCTTCAAGGTGAGCACGTTTGATTGCCAGCCGAAGCCCCCAGCCGTGATATTTACCACTGGGGGCAACTTCTCCCCTGCAGCCTTTTCTTTCCAGGGCTCATCGGACATGAGGGGACGGCGATAGTCGTGTCTCGACTCTCCCTCGAGAAATATCTGGATTCTTGACAGAGATGTAAAGGCCGCAAGCAGCTGGGGAGCGACTTGGAAGAGGGTGGAGAATGGCCCACAAAGAAGCTGAAGATAGGCGAGGGAGGTGAAAATGGTGGTGGTGTTCAAATTGCCCAAGCTAAACGCAAAGGCAAAGATAGGGCTAAGAAGCACCGGCATGAATCCGATCCCCACTGCGGCCACAAGAAAGGTTCGGAACCTTCCTCCAGCGTGCAGTTCGTCCCGCCGCAATCCCCGAATGGAATCTTCCACTGGCTGGGTAAGTCCAGAAATTCTCAAGGGTTTCATGGTAGCAATCACGGTTGAGGTATGCCCGACCCGCTTCTGGATTGCTTGCATCCAAGCTATCTGCTTAGGACCAACGAACCGCATCACGACCGTTGACATAATGGCGCCGAGGATGACAACAATGAGCGGCGCCACAAAGGCGGTGCCGATCTGACGCTGAAGAAGCCAGCTCACTATCGCCACCTGGAGGGGGTTGGCCCAGAATTCGTGCAGCTGCATAAGACCCATCATGACCCTTTCGACATCGGTGCTCATCAACGTGACAGCTGCCTTGTCATCCCCAGCGGGGATTGGTTGCTGGGTGGTCTTTTTGTAGATTGCCGATACTAGGCATGGCCGGATCATGAATAAGGCCCGTTCATGGAGATACCAATAGAGCGCTGTGAGGATTGGCACTCCCACGTACACTAATACTGTCGCTCCGATGAGCGCACATCCCTCCTTGACTGTCAGGGCAGTTTTTGACTTAGCGAGCCACTTGAGGATCGTCTCGATGAGAAAGGATTGGCAAAGTGTAAAGCCGAGTAGCGCGAGGCGAGGAACGACGGGCAGTAGGAAAGGGATTGCTAACGTGCGAGCAACTGCTTTAGCCAAGCCTTGTTGGTCTCCGTTGGAAACGGCGCGCTGAGTATGCTTGGCAAAGCTTTTCTGCAGGGCTTCGATTGACACGCTTCGATCCAGCAGGTAAAGATCAGACAATTCCAGGACTTTCTTGTAGCCTGACAGAACAAGGGGGACGAGCCATAAAAAGGTGCCTAGTCCATACAGGCCAGAGATTTCTTCTGGACTGTGGGTCTTGTGGTCGCACTTGGACCATCTCTGGTGGTGCAGTGACTCCAGCAAAAAGAGAAATGCCTTCCAGACAATCACTGTAGCGAAAAGTCGCACATAGACAAATTGGAAGTTCGTGTGAGCCAGGAGCCAGAGGGATCGAACTTGGGCAATGTCAAAAAGAATAGTTAGCGAGAGAAACGCGCTGAGGATAATTGATGGTCGTAGCGAGCGAGAATGCTCGAGATACGTTAGGATGGAAACTCCAACTGCCGTGACGAGGCCCAGTGAGTTGGCCGTGATGAACAATGCAGGCAACTCAAATGGCTCGATAATTGCCAGGGCTAGAAGCACCAGTCGCAGTATCAGGAAAATGACTGCTGCTGTAAGTTTGATCGACTGGAAGATTACATTGCCCTTGACAGTTGATTTACGAGCCAGCCAAATACCCCGAGGGATTGAGAGAACAACAAACGTTGCTGATGGGAGGATTGAGAGAATGATAGTTTCAAATTTGAGCGTGAAGTCGAAGTCCCCACGACAGCCCTTGACTGCAGGACCAAAAGAAATGTCGTCGGTACAAGTGAAAGATTCCATCCGGAACAAACCCAAACCTTGGGTTGAGTTGTAGATGTGTTGGTTGAGAAAAAATGGGGGAAAGGTCCGTACGGAGCCGGTGGAACTTGGAAGTGACGGAAATGGGGAAAGGAGAAGGGTTGGAGCCTGGAGATGGTCCAGGAGGATTAGTACAATACAGTACAGTAAGTACTACGCATGGCATGGCATGCGGACTGGGTGTAACACTGACAGGGATTATTTCCAGCGCTAGCTTGATAAGTACCTAGTAGTAGGGAGTAACTAGTGTACAGTAACTTAATACCTAGTAACTGCCTTGGTGGAGTAACACTTACTGTACTTTACTAGCAGTAGGTGCCGATGAGACCCAGAGTGCCTTTCTCAGGCTAGTTAGTTAGTCACTCGACTCTGGGCAGCATCTATTTAAAAGTCCGACAGTATGAGTGTGTATGGCATGGACATATCCTCAACCAAAAACCACGTTCTCTGGCTCAGCTGCTTTTCTTTTCTTACCCAGCCAGAATGAAGGACAATAGACAAGGTTATGAGCGGATGATCAACACCGATGAGAACGATGACACAGACTTTGCTGATAACACTGTCTATATCAGTCGCTTTGGTTCTCGTTGTCTCCAGGTGACCTGGAGCCTCGTTTGCCTACTAATGTTTCTCGCGGGAGTTGTGATGCTATCGACTGCGCAAAGTTGGAAGTTATCCGACCGTGAATGTGCTGCCCAGCTCTCTATTTGGTGTATGTACTCTACAGTTAATGTTCTTCCACCCCTCCCTCATTGACTTTTCCACCATGAGAAAGCCCCGCTACTTGAAGCAGTCGAATTTGAGCAGCGGGACTGGGTCAGTATATTCGCCACGCAGAATTCGGGATATACCGGTGCCCCTACCGAGCAGATGGAGGCAAGGTGGAAGCGATTAGTTGACGGTATGTTCGTCCTGACCACTATCAGATGAGATGTTTGACAGTGAGGGGAAAATCGAAGTATCACTTCGCAGACTAACGCGTTCCACGTTGCCTCTCTCGTCATTCTCAGTGCCCAGTGTGGTTGTACCCCCTGAGCGCCTGCCCCTCCTCAACCGCAGCACTGAACAAGGGTTTGTGCCAGTGTCAGCCGAGTCACCCATTCAGGGTTACGTGGCCGGGGTCGAGGTCTTTCATCACCTTCACTGCCTCAATGTTCTGCGCCAGTACATTGGACGCGACGAATATCCGGAAGGGCGTCTTCCCCGCATCCTGAAGCAGAATTCCCCGCTGGCAATTCGGGCACATGTCGACCACTGCATTGAGACTATTCGGCTTGCGCTCATGTGCAATGCCGATGTGACCCCATACCTGTTGTATGAGAAAGGGGGCGAGTCACCCTCCCAGGTGCCTGCCCGAGAAGATTTCCAAGCTTTTCATAAGTGTAAGAGGTTCGACCGTCTTTTGGATTGGGTTCGTTTGAACGGCGTGGTGGTGCCGTTGCATCCCAAGGGTAGTGCAGCCTAGCAGAGTTGGCCATTTGCTCTGCTCGAGAGACAGTGAACTCTCTCATTCCATCTCAATGCCTCTATATTATCATGCAGAGTCGCTAGTAATTTGATTAAGTAGAAACAGACGGCCCCGGAGCCTTGAGCATGGGGATCTGAATCGACTGAATCAGAACTACCTATAAAATATCGTGCTTGCGGGGTGAGCAATTACCCTTTCAGCCCTACCTGCATATGCTTGAGCCTGAATTTGCGCCCCTGGGATCGACAGTGGCGCACGGGATGAAGCAAGAACGTCGGCGTTTGCGGGTTGGATTTGTTTGAGTTGATAAGCCGATGATAAGCTGTCCACCCCTCATTAAGATTAAATGATAAGATGCTCGGGTCAAGTCCATGAGGGTAGTGAGCAGGGCTCAGTAGGGTCGTGAGAAGCAAACACCGACCCTGGGTCCTATGTGCGATGTGCTCCTCCGTCGGAGTTCTAGATCCTGATAAGTGCGGGATGCCTAGAACGGCTAGAGATCACTGTACTTTACCGTACATCGTACATTATATTGCCTAGGTACCTAGTACTTGCTTAGCCTTGCCTTGCCTTATCGACTGGACGTTATTGGTTGTAGCCAGCCTGCTTATTCCATTGTCTGAAACTCACACACTGCCCGTGAAAAGTAAAAGCTGTTGTAGTGTGGTGCACATTATGCATGTGCAATACCAACTAGCTGCTACGCAATCTTGCCCCATCCTTGGTCAATATCACCTTCCGGAACAAACGGCAACAATCAGGTTTTCTTCAACTCCATTGTAGGCGGAAGATCTGAAGGGTTTGTTTTTCCCCTAAATCTGATCGAAATGAAAAAAGAAAAAAGAAAGAAAAAAAAAAAAAAAAGGGGAAAGAAAGAAAGGACGGAAAATCGACTTTGGCTGGATCACATGGTCCGCAACGGTGTAATGCTATAATTAAATTAACATCGGGAATCAAATTCTGTAAGGCAAAGCTAGAGAGCCCCAGAATACAGTACATAGTACAATATGTGGATCTCATATCACTATCATTCCATGCACTAGCTAACTATATGTCGGGCTAGGGTTCAAGCTAATGTACAGCAGCAAACAAGCATCGGGTTGAAGCGGGAGCAAAACGCTTGACAGCAACGACCAACGCTCTCGGTTCCAACTGCACATGTGTGGTTGTGTGGCATGGATTTCTGCCCTCCCCACAGATTCATACTACGGTCCAGTTCTCGTCGATCCACTCCTCTATCCTCCGGAAGTCCCTACATCGATGGTGAGAGGCAAAGTCTGCCCGAATTCCGGCCGCACCCCCAATCTGGACGTAGAGCAAGGAAACGTCACTTTGGCACATGAGCGCAACTCTCAGCGACTCGATGCAGTGGTCCACATGAATGCGGTTTTTCAGCTCGTTTCGCACCAGACCCTCAGGCGGCTCGTCATACTTACCTGCCTGCCACCAGGTGTACATGCGCACAATGTTCTGCCCTCTCGTTAGCGTTTCATGCTGTGTCCATACCCCAACAGCAAGTATGGGAGAACTGGGGTGGCGCTAGAAAAGGTAATCCCTCACCAGGCAATGAAGCTGATGAAATACCTCAAGAAGCCCAATGTATCCAGGCCCAACTTCTGGTGGAACATGTTGCAGGTGATCCGCTTCAGACTTGTTCAGAGCACTGAGCTTCTCGGGAGGGATTTCAACAGCATGCTCTGGGAGTGAGGAAATCGGTCAGAGAGAAGAAAGAAACTAAGTAGTTGGAGTAAGGGTCAATCTCACTGTACGTCAGGTTGAACCAGGCGGATTCTCTTTCATGGGTCGGAGGCCCACGGTATATGCTAGTAGCATTGAAGGCACCGTCAAAGTCATAGTCGATATACTCAACGGCATCGAGTGCAGGTGCTGTTGAGCGTGTTAGTTGCAAATCCGGTAGTTGGCTCTTCTTCGCTGAGCACTCACACCAAGATGACAGTTGCCGCGAGCATTGGCCATCAGTAGGATGAAGTTTTACCAGGACAGCAACAATTAATCCGCACACAAGAAGACAGAGGACAATGAGGGTGATGACCACTGGGCTCAGTATATGCTTTTTCCAGCCGCGTAAGGTCTGATGTCGCATGAGAACGCGCCTATCATTGGAAGCACTTTCCTGGCCGTCATCTGTCGAGGGCTCAAAGTCTCTCGAGTCAGACATGAGAGGATGATACGCAGGCGGTTTGAATTCCATGGCTTACTCCGGATAGTTGAATATGCTAGATATGAAAGTAGATTCGACAAAAGCAGAGAAATATTGATGCACAGAAAGATGAGAGCAGAAAGAAGGGAGGTTTTGAGGGGGCCCCTATTCTCCTGTGTCAGAGCGAGTTTAATTGCGGGGTTTGATGGCTAGGAACGGACTATAGGTGGCCGACGACGCGTTTGACTGATAAGGAGACATGCATTCGAAATGAAGTCTAATGGTGGTATCTGGACGTGCTAGTGTCGAGATTATGACCCTTAGTAGCGTTTCGCTTCGTCGTCTTCTGCATTCAACTACCCTGCTCTCGATAACAGACATGCATGATGGACGTGATTCAATAACTTGATGTTACATTGCATGACATTAGTCTCTTGATTTCATGATTTCACGGTCTCACTCGCATGCTAAGCCTGCACTTCCAAGGCATACTCGAACCAAAACAATGTCCTATCATAGTGTTTTGGAGCTTATCTCGCTCTAGACTGACCAAAACGACAGACTTCGGAGTACAAGTTGTTTTCCGCAGAGGAAACACACAATCGCTTCGGGTGCCGCATTGATACAGTCCCCTTGGAATCACAGTATTGGGCATGATCATGAGTTACGCAGCAGGATACCGGGCGAAGACCAGGGTGTGCGGGGTTTCACAGTCACAGCTTGTGGTAATGTAGGAATTCTCATCCACGCAAACGATATCGCAATGGTACCAGTATTATGGATTTAGCCGGCTGAGCTGTGTATTCCTACAAATCCAGAGATATGAGAATGTGCCCGGCAGGACTCATCTAATCTTCATCTCCAGAACATCATCTCTGCTTACGAGCTCCCCAAAGACTTTCTACCGTTCTCTCTCATATCTTCTGTGTCACATCCCATATCTCTTCAGTCAAGATGAAGGCAACTGTCATCGCAGCCCTAGCTACCTTTGCTACTCTTGTGGCTGCCACGCCTATATCACCGCAGGCCAGAGCCATGACCGTGAACATGCATCGCAAGAGCTTCTCTCAGATGCTCCAGAAGCGTGAAGGGTACGATGGAAATATCATTGACAGCGTCAACTACATCCTAGTTATTCTCACGGATGAAGCGGGCGTTGCCGACCCCTACCAGGACGAAGTCGATGCCGTCAGCGATCCGTCTGATGTTCTCGGTTGAGAGAAACTAAGTCACCTGTCAAAGGTAAGCGATTCCACCTGTCGATTCTTTTCGTCTAATCTACTTTCACAGCTAACCAGACAGTCCATGGTTGCGATCCGGGGGGAATGGTGGCGGGCTTTCCTTACTGCCAATCTTTCACTCTTTGTGACATATTCGGACACGGTCACTATCTTGCTGGGATTCAACGTGGCTAGCATGTTTCTCTCATACGGAGCAGCAGTTCTGGATAGGGCCCTGGTTGGGGGTGAAGTGTAGCTAGTATCAAAGCCTTTACAGTGCAGCATGTTCCGAACCATCTATCACAGCGAATACAATGCAATCTGCGTACTCGATATTCGGCTCTTTCTCTCGCCTTGTGGTCTGAATCCTTGAGTACGGCCAAAGAGACCGTATGCTTCACACCATGTGGTCGTATGTAACCTCCATTGTGAAAGTGTCTCTTGAAAGCGATATCAGGTGGGTGAGCATGAATGCGGAGGGATCAGGCTGACTTCTCACTACCAACTCACCTGCCTTGCTAGTTCTGACGACCTGTGTAGCTATTCCAGGTCTAAACTTAGTGTCCGCTTGCTTACAGAGTCTCATCGGGGATCTTCTTCCTAAATTATCAATTTTTCAGAAATGCCTACAGCGTACAGAACGAGGATTTCGAAAGACAAGTAGTGAGATCTTCATGCAAACCGTCTGGTATACTGATTTTATATAGGTTCCCAGTTTACCCCGCATGGGTTCTTCTACGGCTCCACACTTCGGCCGAACACGTACTGTAGTCGATCAACAGACACACCATCCAAGAACATTATGTTCTGATTTCAACAAAGAGCAGAAAGAAGTCCGTTCCGGGTCCACGCACATGCCTCTGATTTGACGGTCGCCCCAACGCTAATATTACGCGAATCATAAGCGCTCAGAGCGGCAGCAGCTCATCCGAACCAACAAAATAACGTCCTCTTCATCACCTTCCCTTTAGCCTAGCTCAATGACTTAGTATTCATATTCATGATTTGTCTTCCCCTGAATGAAACCATCATCTCACTCACAAAACTCACAAAACGTCCAAGCTTTCCAACCCCAACCAGCAGCACAAGGAACCATGGCCTTCCCCACCCCCCACATCCATCCGCCCCAAACCACCCACACGCACACAGCCATCCTCCTCCACGGCCGCGGAAGCAACGGCCCCGAATTCGCCGACGAGCTTTTCTCGTCTCTAACCTCGCACAACAAATCCCTCCCTGATGCCCTCTCCACCTGGCGCTGGGTATTCCCCACCTCGCGCGACCGCCTCTCCACGCGCTTCCAGGAAGAGATCTGTTCCTGGTTCGATGCGTATTCCCTCTCCGACGTCCAAGAACGCCAGGACCTGCAGATTGAGGGGCTCAGGGAGTCTGTCTCTTTTATCCTCGATATCCTCGAGCAGGAAATCAGCTTACTGGATGGAAGAGCAAGCCACGTTTATCTTGGGGGTGTTAGCCAGGGCATGGCAACCGCTCTCTGGACTTTGTTCTGCGCGGGGGGAAGGATCGAGCGGTGTCTTGGTGGTGTCGTTGGGTTCTGTGGGTGGGTGCCCTTTGCCAGGGAGATTGAGGGGTTGATTCAGCGGGCGGCTGGAGATGACATGCTCCGGATTCAGCGGCTGGTTTGCGGGTTCTGTGTTCAGACGCTTGGATTCTCGCAGTCTTATGAAGAGGTAGAAAGTCAAGGTACTTCGTTGCCTCTTTTCACCACGCGGTTTTATTGGGGCACGGGACAGATGATATCTGGGTGCCGGTGGAGCTGGGGAGGCAGGCGTTGCAGGTTGTCAAGGGGCTTGCCGCGGGGGCGGTGGAGTGGATGGAGTATGCTGGGGCAGAGGGGGATGGCCATTGGATTAAAGAGCCGGAGGGGTTTGATGTTATTCTTAAGTTCTTGAGAGGTGGGTCGCAGCTTGCCTGAAATAGCCCGTGCATGTAGCTTATCCTATCCTTACGCCGTTCCCTAATGAGGATCGCCCCGACATAAATACAACATACAGCGTCAAACCGACAGGTATATAAATCTAGAAAAGCTATCCTCCGAGAAACCACCTGGCACCAATCTCTCACAATAAAACCAAACAAACAAACAAACCACAAAGAAAGCATATATCTGGAAATAACTCAATTTTGTCTACCAACCTTTCCCCACCACCTTCCCACTGTATATAGAATGATTATTATACGCATAGGGAATTTCGCAGTGACCAAAAAAAGCTACAACAAAACAAACTAGCTAGCAAACCCCACCACTAGGCACCCACCATATCGACCATATCCATATCCGTATCCATCTCAGGCGTCTCGGCAAGCCAGGGAGCATCCGTCATCGCCACATCCCCATGCGCAGTCACCACATAAGCGCCAGCCTGGAACACCGCCATCTGCTTCAAATCAGCGGCTCGTCTTTTCCGCGCCGCCATGTTGGCTCGCGTGATGGGGTATTGTGCCAGGCGAGGCACTGTGAAGTAGCGGGAGCGCTGGGAGCAGCGGATGGGCTGGGTGATGAGAGTCATTTTGAGAATATGGATATAACTTTTTTCTGTTTGGTCTGGTTGGTTGATTAGGGGATTGGACTGTTGTAGGGAGGTCGGTTTTGATGCTAGCTGTTGTTGTGCTAGAGTAGTTTTGGTTGGGGGGAAGGGATGCAGGTCGGTCTTATAGACAGGCTGGGGTTCTTTGTTTGTGCTGCGATGGTGAGAATGTCTTTGCTGGAGTATGTGGTGCTGATGCTACGACAAAGGCATTGTTCCTTGAACTTCATGATAGCCGAGAAGCATAAAGCATTAGGGGCTTTTGATTCAGGTATGAGCGAAAACTTACTGGACAGATCTATTATGCCTTAAGTCAGCTGAGGTATATGGAACAAACGACCAGGAAAGGTATCCAGGGTTGATGTCCTTTCAAGCTCAAGCGGAAGAGCAATTCTTCTCGTCAGACCATGTTCGACGGCTTACAAGGCTCTTACTCACATGCAATCAACAGAAGGAACGCAGGCCAATTTCCATTACCTTAACCTTAGACCTGGATAGGTGTTAAAGAGCATACACCGATACCACTAAGAGACATCTAACCACCCATGGTGAACCCATTCATGGCCTTCTTGACCGGCGATGTCTCTAGCATCCAATTCCCATCTCCCACTTCCCTCGCGATTCCACCTTTCTTGGCAGCTCTCATCACCTTCTCCCCGGCCACCGTTCTCTCCCCCGTAAGCCAGTCCCAGACATACCCTTCCTTCAACCACATCCAAGTTAGGTAGGCTCGTAGCTCTTTATCTTGAGGCAACACCTTCTGCCACTCGGGCACAAATTTTACCACCTCCGCAGTATCACCTGCTGCGCTTCCACTTCCCACACTAACATTCCCATTTGGGTCCGCACCTTCATTAACAGTACCTGATCCAGTCGTTGTCATCGCTCTACCAACGCCCCTCAATTCATCTCGACAAAAGATCCTCCAACTATCCAAGGAATAAGCACCTACACCAGGAAGATGCGCGATTTCCCACCCCACACGTTCATCTTCATCATCTAGACACTCATCGCGGCGGACATTACGACCGTCGTTCAGGTTCGGGTAGTGGAGTTTACGATACCGACAACCACGGGCAGGAGGCCGAGCAAGCCAAGTCTGTGCGAGGGCAATACATTTCTTGGCGCGTTGGTGTTGGAAGCCGAGACAACGGATTAGCTCGGTCAGCTCGGTCGGGTCTGCAGTCGCAAAGGCCAAGATGGAGGGGTATATGTCAAAAACGCGGAAGAGGACGGGGAGGGCGACATGACCGCGGGTACGATTAAGAAATATGGTAGCAATGAGGAGGCGAAAGGGATCGTGAGCGAGCTGTTCCTGGACCAGACCGAATGTCGGGGCGGAGATAGGCTGGAATGGGAGACAAGAGGACGGATCAATCAAAGGTTGGGGAAAGAAGCGAGATATTTTTGGTGCTTGAGATAATCGTGGTGGTCGGGAGGTAAGGGTGGGTCCATTATCAATATTCGTAGTCGCATCGACTGAGGTTTCGGGCTCAGAGACAGCAGATACATTTGTTAATGGCGAAATTGAGGATGACGCAGGCGGCGGTGTTGAAGGATACGAGTCAGGGAGGTCACTCGGAGCATCGCTCAGCTCGGAGCAATCAGACAAAATTAGGTTAGAAGGTACAGCAGCGGTAGAACCACTGATTGAGCCAGTCTTGGTGGCTGGTTGCCCTACACTGAAGAATATGGACCGTACCTCATCGCTGGTGGTTGGACTTTGCGATTCATCGGTGTCGAAAAATCCGAATGTTCTGTTCGAGTAGACTTCTTGGCTGATCGACCTTTCGCTTTCCCATTCTTCGAAAGTCTTGGTGATTTGTTCGGGTTCCCCCGTCTTGTTTCCGCCTGCTTCGCTTTGAGCAAGCCTTGGTGCCGGATCTGAGCTTGGATATCCGAGATATGCCCTTCAAGTTCGGCTAGGTTAGACCCTTTGGTCATCGCAGGCGTTCCAGGCTTGTGAAGATTGGGATCTTTTGCCTTGTTGATATGTTTACCTTGCTCGGGCCTCGTCAAATCGATAAGCTCGGCGATATCATGGTTGTTCGAATGTCCCTTTGCTGAGCCCACCTTCTTAGTGTTGCCGCTTTTCTCAGAGTCCCTTGCTTGCGCAGGTCGTGCAGTGACTTTTGAACCTCCGGCCCTGTGGGTGCCGCTGGACTGGTTCGAGTTCGAGGATCTGGCAATCTGAATGGCCTGCTGAGTTGTAGACTTCTGGGGTATGACACTCTCGCTGGCCTTCTTCGATTGCATCGAGTTGGCAGAAATGATGGTTTGCCTGAGCTGTTCGGTCGCATCAGCCATTCTGGGATTTTGCTTTGGCTCGGCGGTCAACTGTCCGACACATTCGATGCCATCATCTGCAAGTTTGTAGGCCTGCTTGCTCTGCAGAGATTTTGTCTTTCCTGAGCTCGTTGCCTTCTCCTTTGCCGCCTTCTCCGACTGCTTCTTCTGAGGTTGCACACCTCTGTTCAGCTGCACGGATGACGTTGAAGCTCGATCCGAAGAGGTATGACCTTCAGACGAGGAGCGTGTCTTCTTCCTTCTCTTAGACTTCTCGAAATGACTTGCATTGCCTGGCTGGTCCTCGGAAAGCAGAGGGCTCTCGCCTTGCTTCCGTTTCTTTCCACCATTAGATGAGTCATCGACAGACATCTTCAACTTCTTTGTTGATTTTTCTTCAAGGCCCTTACCGCTCGGCGGTCCTTTCTGGTCGATCTGTTCGGTGCCCACTTTGTGAGACTTGCTTGTGGTCGGGGATGCTATTGCTAGGTCAACATCAATTGGTGTTGCCATAATCTTCCCATTGGGCGATGCGGGGCCTGCTTTATCAAGCGACGTCGCAGAGCCTTTCCCTGACTCATCTGCTGACGCAAAGTCCAACCTCTGAAGTGATTCAGACACTGACGCTTCCATGTCTTTTGGTATAGATTCGTCCTGTTTGGTCCCAGCAATCACGTCCTCTCCCTGGTCATCTGCGAGATTGGCATCTGGGAGTGACTCAACGGACTTACGTCCCGATGCCGCTTGCTGGTTCTCGCTCGTCACAGCTGATGGGTCCTTTGGGCTGACCAAACCCCTCTCTGGTCCACGATCAGAGTCTGGCTTGGATCCTGATTCCGGGTCCACCTTTGAGTCATTACCCTTGTTCTCACCCCACTGAAGCAGGTAGACCCCTCTTAAAGCCCTCATCATCCGTTCAAATTCATCCTCCGTCATCCCGATTTCCACCGCCTTCTGCGAGGCATAATCGACGAATGCGCGTTTCTCCGATCTCTTCACTGGATAAATGCCTTTGCGCATGAAGTCGCTCGTACACAGTGCGAAACCAAGCTCTCTCACCTGCGGCCGGCTCACGGATGGAAACTGGTCGTAATCTTCCTCCCACTCAGAGTCGAATTCGAACTCGCTAGTATCGTCATACGCATCTTGGCTCCCCATGTGCTCGCGCGCAGTAGAGTAGGATCCGGGCTCCGGTGAAAGTGACGGTGAAGGTGACTTGAGGAGGTCTATGGATTCAATATCGGCGTGCAGGTAGTGCTGCTCGGGACTATCAGGGGGCAACATGGCGGGCTCCGCACTTGATTTAGATTTCGATTCAGGTCGAGATTGTGCTACAGACTCGAACCCAAGTTCAGAGCTCACCGCAGATCCTGACTCGGACGTGTAGTCATCTCCCGAATCAGAGTCTGGCCCGTGATAAGGTATGATTCGCTTGCCCAGCGCCCAGTTTCGTGAGCTAAGCTGCCGCGTTGTCGGCGACTGTCGCTGCGTCCCATGCGACCAGTCGGGGCTACGACTGTAGCCCGGGGTATGATTGTGATCGGGAATTTGACTGTAGTCGTCGAACCGCGAGGAATGTTGGCTGGCTTCATCGGAAAGGATTTCATCCACGGTCTTTTCGTGAAGAGCGTAGAGAAGGCCAGACGCACAATAGGCCATGTCCTTGACTATTGCACTGTCCTTCGCGTCAGTGTGGGGGGTCGTTTCGGTCACATTATTGCTGGTGGTCGCGTTGGTGTAGGATCGGTGGGGAGAGGAGGTGAGAGGTTCGGCGAATTCGACGCGTTTGGCTCTTGGAGTAGAGGAGGCAGACGTCGTCATCGTGAGTACGTTGCGCTTGCTTGTGTTGACGGAGTTGTGTAGTGAGAGGCGGAATAGTAGCTGGTAATGGAAGGTTGGTAAGGTAGGAAAAAGTGGTGATGAAAGTCAAGGCGTAGTGTTAAGGTCAGGTAGAGAGGTTGAAGGAGGAAGGCACGAATCTGGTAGTAATGAGGTGAGCAGGTCAGTAAATGTGTACCTTGAGCTGAGAATCTCTCACTTACAATTAACACAGATTAGTGAATTCACCAAGAGTGGAAGACCAGGAGGTGTTACTAGCCAGGGGAGTTCGAAGCGGAGAAGTCCCAAAGCAACCTAGGACGCTTTCGTAACCAAGAACCAAAAGTCATCTTCATAGTCCCTGGCAAAAAGAGAGTTTTTCAAAGCCTGCAATCCCCTAGAACGTGCGACAAGTGAGGCCGGGGGTGGCAGTCACCGCGGAGAATTGGAAGGAAGCGGATGCGCCGACGCGGAAGATCAGTAGATTGATCTAATCCAGGCACGCGCATGTGATCGGCCAGTAACAGCCATTGCTTCCTACCTTCGGGGGTGATAGATCAGAGATATTAGAATAGTGCTAGTAGCAAAGAGAATCATTGACCAAGATACAACTCAGGTGAAACTACTCCCCATATCTTGATACACTCCTTATCTATGGATGCCTTGTTATTGCCATTATGAGTTTCTACCGCCATGCGCAGGCGCGTGCTGGAGTCATTTTCTGCCACCGCCCAAATTGAACAGTTTCGGGAGCCAATTTCTCTGGACTGTTACTTCTTAAGTCCGCTTAATTCCGTGGTTTTTGTCGCGAAGTCGCGAGCGTTCTGCCGGATAAGGCGGTCTAAAGAGCGGTCAGAAGCCACTTTTGCCTCATGCAATACAAGAGACGCCAATAGTGTACAGTACCTTGGAAAAGCATTTAATCTATGACTATATGTTTTAAATAATTGGGTTTGCACTTTGTATTCTCGCTGGAGCTGCATGCAGCTAGCTATCTTCCATTTTCTTGAAAATATCCCCAACACCTCAATGGCCCGATCGAGCTTAGAAAATAAATCGAAATCACATCTTGAAAATCCACCGCAATACACAGAGTAGCCCTCGAGAAGTAATCAATGCTGTTTCGCGAACTTCAACATCATCAGTCGTGATATCATGCTCCTGTTCAACGGCTAAAGAGCGCTGCCCACTCTAAGACTTTCTTCTCTGAGAGCACAATGTCCTGTTCGAGCGGCGGATTTGGTGCCCTTCCAAAAACACGTTCAAACTCCAGAACAACTGGTCTTCCTTGTATTGTGGGAGAGTCGATTCCTTGAGTCCGGATCGTAGCAGTCGACACTCTGCTAGCCTTCCACACTCGGCCAGCACCACTGCGCGAGTGCAAGCGCGTGTTAGGGTAGTCCAGCGCTTGGGCGCATGCTGCTCGACTATGACCTCCTTGGTGTCCCGGTTGACCTCAGTGAGAAGAAAAAGCTTCACTTCGGCAGCAGAGTGGGCAGCCCACCACGCGGCAGCGGCTCGGAGTCGCAGCATCGAGTCCGAGGATCGTATTGCCGCTTCGATCACTCAGATTGGCCATTGGCGTGATGGTCGGCTGCGGAAGTTCGTGAATGAAGAGTCAGCCTCCTTTAGAATGTTGTGGCACCAAGGAGGCAGGTCTCTTTGTGACCCAGGCCCATCTTGTGCGAGGCACATACGACGATGTTACTGAAGCTGAGGTAGGCCGTTTCAGTCTCTCTTGCGGGGATTCTGACGATCAAGGTTTCGATATCGCGAAGGTAATTCAGGCGAACGTGGCTGCTCAGTCCCTCCCCCCGTTCCACAATATGGTTGAATTGTTGGGGTGACACATCCTTGAACGAAAGGTATCGAATGGCACCTTCGACTTCCTCATACAGCTGGTCGCGTCGAGCCACGATGAGCTTGTTCAGGTCTTTCACGCCTTTGTAAGTGGTTGGTGGGAATCGGTCGATGAGTGCAAGCCGTGACGATGAGGCTTCGGGTGGAGAGTTAGGTACGGATGTCATTGTTGCCTGCAGGTTTACAGAGCACGGTCGCGACAGCACAGAAAAATAGTTTTCTGTGGAAGATGGGGCGTTTGGGAAAGATTTGAGAGTACTTGGATACGATGATCGCAGGTACTACGAAAGCCCGGGTACCTTCTCCGGAATGACTGTTTCTTTACGTTGCGGTGGAACCACAGACACAATCTTCATATTCCATACGCGACCCGACTCCATCTGACTAGTCCTCAGGGCATAGAAACATGACCACGGTTGTATCGTTCAGGCAGAAGAACGATTCGTACATCTGGTCAATTGACCAGCCAGTGTCTGGGTACGGTTATCGGGAAGAGAGCTGCTCTTAGGTGTTTCTAGAATCGTTTGTTTGTCGTTCGGTACAGAGAATCATCGTCTCGAAACCGAGATCCGCAGAGTTGGTTCGGCTGAGTCGCAAGGGTTCAGGGACGACATTTCTGTTTGACTTTTATTCATATAAGCTTCAAGATGTTTAGTTGATCATCTTGCTGCGTGCCAACTCAGTCCTTGCATTCGTTGCTCGCTCGGCACTCTTTACAATGCGTGTTCTGGAAACATGCGGCAATCCGCGGAAAAGGACGGTTGTCGGTTGGGAGGAAGAGATCGCGGAAGGCTTCCGTCCGGGAAGCTCCCCAGTTCAACAGGCCACCCTCTTGAAGTAATGACTTTGCCATGTTTAGATCTATGAAGTATTCTGGGCATAAGGCCATCCCTGGAGGTTGATGCTTCTCATTGATATTTGAGAAGCATTTGCTGGGATTGTCATCTCACACTCTTTCATGCACTTTGCAGTAAGCGGAATGTGGCCGCACTGGGTCTTCCCCGCCAACAGCAATTCCGCGAGTTTCCCCCGCAAAGCGACTCCGCAGTCCCGCGATTGTCGCGTTCCACCATTATATCATCCGGCATGTGAGCTGGAGGGGCAGCTCGTACAGCTCTTTTAATCCATCACCTCACTTTAAGCATTGCTTAACAGCCTTATATCTGATCTTTGATTTCTTGACTTCTGTATCATTTCTAATACACCCCTCGATCATATTCTCATAACGTATCCATCTTGCAGGTCATTTGACAATATGCCAGTGACCAAGTTCTCCCATCCCGATCCGTATTCCTACCAGACGGGCTTCGATTCTTATCATGAGTATGGTCTTTCTTACCCGGTTATCTGGCGGACTGACTGACGGCTCTCCCCTCCCCATAGGACCGAAGCCGTCGAAGGCGCTCTTCCAGTAGGACAGAATTCCCCCCAGAAGGCCCCCTATGGCTTGTACGCAGAGAAGCTGTCCGGTACAGCTTTCACCGCCCCCAGACACGAGAACCGACAAACATGGGTCTATCGCATTCTCCCCGCAGCTGCCCACCAGAATTTTGTCGCCGAGGAAGAGGATTCCTATCATACTCGCATGACCACAGAAACACACCAGCTCCACCACATTCCTAACCAACTGCGATGGGATCCTTTCGATCTAGATGAGACTGTCGACTGGGTCCACGGCCTCCATCTTGTTGCTGGAGCCGGTGACCCTACTTTAAAACATGGTCTGGGGATCATTCTTTATGCGGCGGGCAAGGACATGGGGAAGGAGGCATTCTACTCGGCTGACGGCGACTTTCTGATCGTGCCTCAGCACGGCGTGCTGGACATTCAGACTGAATTGGGCCGACTGGTGGTCCGTCCGAACGAGATTTGCGTGATTCCCCGGGGCGTGCGGTATGAAGCCCTCACCTACCATCCTTGGCCATAAAGTAAGTATCTGACAAAGAGTTGGATAGGTACCGCGTAACTCTCCCCGCCGGTCCAGTGCGAGGATACATCTGCGAGCTCTACCAAGGCCACTACCAGCTCCCCGAGCTCGGCCCGATCGGCTCCAACTGTCTCGCCAACGCCCGCGACTTCCAGGCGCCCGTAGCGGCCTTCGACGACGAAGAGGAACCCTCCGAGTACCGGTTGTACAGCAAGTTCGCCAACAAGCTCTACTCCGCCCGGCAGCAGCACACCCCCTTCGACATTGTCGCCTGGCACGGCAACTACTACCCTTACAAGTACGATCTCGGGCGCTTCAACACGATCGGCTCCATCTCATTTGATCACCCGGATCCGTCCATCTTCACCGTTCTAACCGGCCCATCGGACCACGCAGGCACCGCCATCGCCGACTTTGTCATCTTCCCGCCCCGCTGGCTGGTGCAAGAGAATACCTTCCGCCCGCCCTGGTACCACCGCAACACCATGTCCGAATTCATGGGGTTGATTACGGGGAACTATGATGCCAAGACGGGAGGTGGGTTCCAGCCTGCGGGAGCTAGCTTGCACAATGTGATGAGTGCGCACGGGCCGGATGCAGATGCCTTCGAGGGCGCGAGTAATGCGGAGCTCAAGCCAACGAAGGTTGGTGATGGGAGTATGGCGTTCATGTTTGAGAGGTGAGTCTTTTCCGTGTCTCTCTTTGTGGATTGAGTGCTAATTCGATGGGTGCAGCTGTCTGATGGTGGGTGTCTCCGAATGGGGCTTGAAGACTTGTCAGAAGGTGCAGGAGGAATACAATGAGCACAGCTGGCAGCCACTTAAGCGTCACTTCAAGAATCCGAACAAGAAATAGGGTATGGTTTGGTAGTCAAGGCTATAAGACGGAGTTGGATTGCTCATAAATATCAATCTGCACAGGTCAAGTGATTTAATAAGCGGTGGCAGGCGCCGCGGTAGCCATATGTCCCAAATAATGAAATGAATGACACGTTCAAGAATTCTCACAAACTGAAAAGTGTAGAGACATGAGCTTGCTCAAGAATTAGACGCAATTGAACATGGTTCCTCTGTTTTGAAGTACAAAACTTCCTCCATAGGAAACTCCATCATGGTACATAGCAGGCCGAGGGTGTTAGTAGCCTGAGGTTGCAAGCGGGTTGCGCACAGTTACAGTTAGTTATATACTAATTATAACTAATAATTATTTTTTATATTAGTAAAAATATAGTATAATAGTTTAAAACTATTTTAACTTCTTTCTATTTTAATTAAAGTTTATATACTATATAATTAGTATAGATTTAAGCTTATTATTTAATAGTTCTAAAACTGAGAAGTTTCTATAACTACTTTATATTTATTACTATTCGTTTAGTTTTATAAAATAATAAAGTAGTAGTATTAACTTTTTAACTATTTACTTTTTTTTATTTTTTAAATAATATTTATTATTTACTTTTCTCTTTATCTTTCTAATAATACTTTATATTTTTTTTTATTTTTTATTTTTTTTTTATTTCTTCTTTTTTTTTTCTTTTCTCTTCTTTTTTTTTAATTTTTTATTATCTACTACTTACTACTTACTAATTATTTTTTTATTTTTATTTTTATTATTTTTATTCTTATTCTTTATTTTTTTTTATATTTTATTATATCTGATCAGTAAGTTCTTCTAACTTTAAAAATAAAAATAAACTAAAATCTAATAATTTTAAATCTGATTTAATTAAAAGCTGATATATCTAAATATATAGATATTAAAAATAATTTCTAAAATAAGATTTTAAATTTTATTAATTATTTATAAATAATTTTTTATAACTAATATTAGAATAGATAATAACAGAAAAAATATAAAAAAAATACTTTTTATTAATAATTATATATTATTAAAATTAGAAGCAGAAAGAAAGAATTTATAATATATATTAAAATTTAAAAAATAAAAAAATTTTAAATTATAATTATAATCTGACTTTATCGCTCCGTACTGGCGTAAGTTTTAAAATAATTATTTAAAATATTATATTAAAAATTAAAAATATAGAATAGATTTAAAAATAATATAAAAATATCTTACTATTAAAAAAGCTAGTAAATAATATAAATATAATAAATTATTAAATATTAATATATTAAATTAAATAACAGCAGACTATCTCGCTAGATAACTATATTAAATAAAAAAAATCTTAAATTAAATAAAAAAATCTTTTTTTAAAAAAATTATTTTTATAAAAATATAAATAAGATTTTTTAAAGAGTTAAAAATATTATTTAGTAAATATATATATTAAATATTTTTTAAAAAAAATTAGAAATAACAGCTGTATTTAGAACTAAGAAACTTACAGATAATGTCAACTATATAGCCAGTTGGTAGCCTCAGGCTCGCTAGTTCGCCACCTCAGGCTCTCCAGTTCGCCACCTCAGGCTCTCCAGTTCGCTGCCTCAGGTTAGCCAGTTCGCGGAGTGGATTTCCGAGTTCCGGTGACCCCTTAGTGGGGAAAACGGCCTGGAACAATCTTCTTCTATTCATCCTATTGTTCCTGTTCAATAGGAATTTATTCATTTATTTACTTTCATGTGTTTTTCATATGATCGCGGAAAGCCTCGGAAAATCAATATGGCTATTCAGCTATAAATAAGAGGTCAATTCCTTTTGTTCTTTTAGTTAGTTGAGCAAGCAGTTTCAGTTCAGTTTCAGTTTACTTTATTCAATTTATTCAGTTCAATCAGTTTAATCAGTTACTTATTCAAGAAATTGATTTTATCTATCTTTTACTTTACTTTTACTTTCACTTTACCTCTTACTTAAATTTTGTATGGAATCCCATATAAAGTTTGAGTGAAAAGTAAGGTTTTATTAAAGTGGAAGTGAAGGTATTCAGAATTCTTCTTAATTTATTTACTTTCATGTGTTTTTCATATGATCGCGGAAAGCCTCGGAAAATCAATATTGCTATTCAGCTATAAATAAAAGGTCAATTCCTTTTGTTCTTTTAGTTAGTTGAGCAAGCAGTTTCAGTTCAGTTTCAGTTTACTTCAT